AACCATACATACAATACAACACACCACCATACATATATCACAACACACCACCATACATACAACACAACACACAACCATACATGCAACACAACACACAACCATACATACAATACAACACACAACCATACATTCAATACAACACACAACCATACATACAATACAACACAACACACAACCATACATACAATACAACACACAACCATACATGCAACACAACACACCACCATACATGCAACACAACACACAACCATACATACAATACAACACACAACATACACAACATACATACATATATCACAACACACAACCATACATATATCACAACACACAACCATACATACAATACAACACACCACCATACATACAACACAACACACAACCATACATACAATACAACACACCACCATACATACAACACAACACACAACCATACATACAACACAACACACAACCATACATACAACACAACACACAACCATACATATATCACAACACACAACCATACATACAATACAACACACCACCATACATATAACACAACACACAACCATGCATACAACACAACACACAACCATACATATAACACAACACACAACCATGCATACAATACAACACACAACCATACATACAACACAACACACAACCATACATACAATACAACACACCACCATACATACAATACAACACACAACCATACATACAATACAACACACAACCATACATACAATACAACACACAACCATACATACAATACAACACAACACACAACCATACATACAATACACAACACACAACCATACATACAACACAACACACCACCATACATGCAACACAACACACAACCATACATACAATACAACACACAACCATACATACAATACAACACAACACACAACCATACATACAATACAACACACAACCATACATACAATACAACACACAACCATACATACAACACAACACACAACCATACATACAATACAACACACAACCATACATATATCACAACACACAACCATACATACAATACAACACACCACCATACATATATCACAACACACCACCATACATACAATACAACACACAACCATACATACAATACAACATAAAACCATACATACAATACAACACACAACCATACATATATCACAACACACAACCATACATACAACACAACACAACACACAAACATACAGATCATATAAACACTTTACAACACGGAATAAGGATGTTCTGACTTAGATGTGAGAATAGTGCTCTATCATAATAATGTCAGTTACTGGTTACTACAAAATCTGATTAGAAATACGCCTCAGTATAGTTCATAACCATATATTTATACCGCCGTTCACCTTTTCTCTGATTAGAATTTGGTATGGTGGTTTACTGGGTGAAAAAATCAAATGCTCTTCTAGAAGAGTTTTTTTATGAGTGGGTGTTGAAGAAAGGTCAAATGCTCTCTGGAGGTCATTAAAATCAATTTACTATTACTTTCACTTCTTGAGTAAACAGTATAACAATCAGAGTGTAGCCCAGATTTGATAGCACTTAGAATGGTGGTTAGAAGTTTTGAAAAGACTAGGCTGAACAGCTAGACGAGCCAGCAATAAAACCTTGTTTTTTTATGGATCCTCAACAGGCGATCGAAATGATAGTAATACCAAAATACGATAAGCTAATATTTCTTCTTTGGCGAGATTGCATAATGTATAGGTGGGGTTATCAAGCAAGTATAGTTATATACAGTTGTATACATGAAATGTGATAATGATTCTTACTCCTCCCGTGGAAATAATTTGATTTTGCCCAAATTTGATCTGAAACTTCATGTAGGGAAGAGGATTCTTTTTGAGGTACCTGCAGAGGGATGTGGCTCAATTCAAAATAAACGGTAGTGGGACAGAGAGCAAATTCTTTCATATTCTTCTCCTGTCGTAAGAATAATTGTATCACGCCAAAATTTGATCTGGAACTTTCTTAGATGAAGGTGGCTCATTTTGAAATGATGGGTATTGTCCCACTCAGCTTGAGGCGGTAGGGGCGGTGATCGATGGGAGAAATCAAGTAAATTCTTTAAAATCAAACCGCTACTGTTGTAGGAATGTTTGACGTTTGTCCAAATTTGGTCTGATACTTTCGTGGGAGAAGAGAAATCAAGTCTGTGTAAACAGTGGCATAGGACCTCTAGGCCAAGAGGGACGGAGCCCAAAAGAGAAAATGGGGCAAGCTATTTTGAATCATTCTTCTTCTGTAGGAATGTCTGGATTCCATCTCAGTTTGATCTGAGGCATGATCGGTTGTAAAGGATACATTTTGTAAAACCAGTGTCAAACCTGTTAGTTAAGAAATCTGGGGATATCCGTGGGGTATTTACTATGCATTATTGTCCTATCTTTTACAACGTGCCACTATCCTATCATTTACAATGCATTATTGTCCTGGCGTTTACTACGCAGTCTTGTATAGTGGAAAACGAGCAAATCCATTAATTTCAATTGTCATATTTAGAAATATTTCCGCAAGCGGTTGTGCTGATTTCCTTTTGCTTACGTAGTGTACTATTTTTTTACCCTTAAAAACGCTTTCGTAAGTTCTATCGAGATTCCAGGTACTTGTTTTATTTTTAGACTTGTTTAAAATCATAAAGGGGTTTCCCCGCTGCATATTAATTAATTCTATTTGAAGAGAAAAGTTCAATACGTATTTCCAACTTTCGTTTTGAAATGAACGATTCAGAGAAATATGATTCAGGCTTAACGAGAACACGTAAGTGTGATTATTTATACTAACTTAACCACCATTAGAGGCTTTTTATTGTAAATCAACAATTATCTGAAGTCAAATTGACTTTTTCTCTGTTGATTACTCGATTTGTTACTATATTTTGGACTCAGTTTGAGACTTTATTCAGCATAACGTACTTCCTGGAAGGACGTGATACGTCTACATGACGGTTTAGATTAATTGTAATGAAAAGTGTTGTTTACTAATTGTATGTCTCCTTTGTACAATCCTCTGTATACACTGTCAAATGATCAGTTTGTCATTATATATGTAAAAGACAATGTGAGCTATTCAGTAAGTGTAGGTATACCGAGTATTCTCTTACATTTTGTAAACATCTCTTCACGTGGTAATTCAAGTGTAAATCCTATCTAAGACAGTGGCCCGCTTACCAGATATTGTTATCTGGAATACATGTATAACAATGTTGTCCTCTTACATATATGTGTTTATCCCCCGAGCTGTGTATTTATAAACGATGACAGGACGGTTTACAATACGAAGGCCACGGATGACATGAGAAATGTGGGTTAGGCACGGGATGTGATGAAGTTTAGTATAGCTGGAAGACATTGATAAGTGTACAGTGTAACTAATACTAGGGTTATCCGGTTTAGGAGAGACTGATTTACTCTTAAAAACATAAATTGTATATATGACTCTCTCTCTCTCTCTCTCTCTCTCTCTCTCTCTCTCTCTCTCTCTCTCTCTCTCTCTCTCTCTCTCTCTCTCTCTCTCTCTCTCTCTCTCTCTCTCTCTCTCTCTCTCTCTTACTCTCTCTCTCTGTCTGCCTGTCTGTCTCTCTGTGTGTCTCTCTGTCTGTCTGTGTGTCTGTCTGTGTGTCTGTCTGTCTGTCTCTCTCTCCCTCTCTGTGTCTGCCTCTGTCTCTCTGTCTCTCTCTCATATATTATATATATGATTATATAAAGGTTATATGAATACAATTTAGCACGATGTTTGAACTGTCACAATATACATTAAATATATACTGTAGCGGTATATTTCACAGCAGTCATTATAACTTTTCATAGAAATTCGAAGGAAATCATTGACGAATTTCAGCGTGATATTTAGCTAATAAACAAGTTATTCAAAGACAGGTGTTTGTTTACAATTCACCTGTATACTAGTATCATGATTGATGAAAACTTATTTCCAATGAATCTGGCATATTGAGCCATATTTGATACTGGATTGATGACAAAACCATCCTTAAAATTCCTATATTTGAAGCCGAAAGCCTAAAGTGTGAGTACATATGATTGTTTTTGTGGGGTTGGTTGGGTTGGGATGGATTGGGATTGAAGAGCGGATTCCTCGGCGCTTATATATATATGATAAGCATGACGGTAACATGAGATGTCCAAACTTAATTAATATGGACAAATATGGAGTTGTGACAAAAATTGAGAGGCATGGAATATTTATATATCACAAAAATAGATTTATCTACTCTTGTCCTATCATTAACAGTACACTCTTGTCCTATCATTTACAGTGCATTCTTGTCCTATCATTTACATTGTATTCTTGTCCTATCATTAACAGTGCATTCTTGTCCTATCATTAACCATGCACTCTTGTCCTATCATTAACAGTGCACTCTTGTCCTATCATTAACAGTGCACTCTTGTCCTATCATTAACATTGCACTCTTGTCCTATCATTAACCATGTACTCTTGTCCTATCATTAACAGTGCACTCTTGTCCTATCATTTACAGTGCATTCTTGTCCTATCATTTACATTGTATTCTTGTCCTATCATTAACAGTGCATTCTTGTCCTATCATTAACCATGCACTCTTGTCCTATCATTAACAGTGCATTCTTGTCCTATCATTAACAGTGCACTCTTGTCCTATCATTGACAGTGCACTCTTGTCCTATCATTAACAGTGCATTCTTGTCCTATCATTAACAGTGCACTCTTGTCCTATCATTAACCATGCACTCTTGTCCTATCATTAACCATGCACTCTTGTCCTATCATTTACAATGCATATTTGTCCTATCATTTACAGTGCATTCTTTTCCTATCATTAACCATGCACTCTTGTCCTATCATTTACAGTGCACTCTTGTCCTATCATTAACAGTGCACTCTTGTCCTATCATTAACAGTGCACTCTTTTCCTAAAATTTGCAATGCATTCGTGTCCTGTCATTTACACGCTTTCTACTAAATGTATATTCCTTTGATCGTAGATATGAAGAATGGATGAAACCAAGGTCAAAGAAGTATATGCTCGCCTTAAAATAAAGATGAAAAACGCATATTTCATGGAGCAGAATACCGCCAACCTCGAAAGCTTTAGAGTAGGGGCTTCAGCGTATCTTGATGGTCCAGGCCAGTATGAAAACCTCTCCTTCTTTCAGATATGTACGAACTTAGAGGGAAAGGGAATCATTGGTTTGGATAATCTAAACGTATTGGAAAAGCTAGTAGAAAATACACCTGGAGGAGCTCAGCAACTTCTTAAAATGATCAACGATGCGAAAAAACAAATTCAAGGATACATGTCAGGTATAAGTATAGAAACATTGTCAACTTTATTGTGTTAAACAATATGATACTTTTTTCATGTTATTGTTTAAATTCAATATATGATCGTGGTTAATAATCAAGAATTGCAATTTACATTTATCATTTTGTGATCGTAATTATAATACTGCAGATAAATGTTCTCTTAACTTGAAACTTCATGTGATGTATGTTTTGTAGTATAATCTGATTAATAAGTACGTTGTAATGTAATTGATGAATGAGAACAGACGTGGTCCGGACAATTACACAGTAATTGGTGTGGTATTTAGGAATTGTTATACTTTGTGTCATGGCTTCCTAAACGATGATCAATATTTAAGTCGATATTTAAACAAACTACATTTTATATTAAAAATGCATCGTAAGGATTTGAGTATGAGTAACTTTTATTTCGTATATTATACGAATGATTGGATTAAAAGTTAAAAGATTAAACATTCAGAAAAGGAACTTTACAAATATGCTATCAAAATTTACAAATCATTAAAGCGTATTATCATAAGATCGGTTAATATTTCTCTGAATTAAACATATTGTATATTGGTACGTTGACTAAAATGGCGTGATTTAATTATCATAGAATAGATATATACAATGGATGTTATTTAAAAAGAACTGGTTTGATTTAAGTCTCATTGAATCGATTAGCTGTTCATATCAAATGACGGGAAATAAATTTGTAATATTTGTGTTTTACCAGAGCCTGCAGGAAACTTTCATAGGACGGATGATACGGCTGTTTCGCATTCGCTGCTCCAGAATATAGGCAAATCTAAACATTTTTGCTGAAATTTGATGTTTAGGATAAAAAGTACTCATTAAACCCATCAGTACTCTAAGCTGTTTATCATACGAATGATTGGATTAAAAGTTAAAAGATTAAACATTCAGAAAAGGAACTTTACAAATATACTAACAAAATTTACAAATCAATAAAGCGTATTATCATCAGATCGGTTAATATTTCTCTGAATTAAACATATTGTATATTGGTACGTTGACTAAAATGGCGTGATTTACTTATCATAGAATAGATATATACAATGGATGTTATTTAAAAAGAACTGGTTTGATTTAAGTCTCATTGAATCGATTAGCTGTTCATATCAAATGACGGGAAATAAATTTGTAATTTACAGCGGAAGTTTTACCAGAGCCTGCAGGCAACTTTCATAGGACGGATGATACGGCTGTTTCGCATTCGCTGCTCCAGAATATAGGCAAATCTAATCTGCACAAGTCGGTTGGACTTATAAGCATCAGATTGGATCGCACCAGTTCTGGGACAGGGTTTCGTGTTGGGAAAAACTTCGTCATGACTGCTTATCATGTATTTAAATCCACTATCGGTACGTTTGACACCTTAACTGGCATGATTTAAAAAAAAATCAATATATGTGTCTCGTTCATTATATACCGGTGTTCATCATCTGTAAGATATCATTTATTGTTTCAACAAAATTTGAATTATGTTACGATTAGATTAAAGTATTTGTCTTCATTCTTTGAACATATATCAATATTTCTTACATCTGGTTCCACATACCTGTACAGAAAGTGACTGGGAAACAGTAATAAATGAAGCTGAACGAAGCGACAACAAGGAAGAAATATATGAGGAGATCCGCAGACTGTTTGGGGTTTCACCGCCTGATGGTATCAAACCTTGTCATCAGCGTCTCCCATTCGGGGAACTGTTTGCTTATCTACAGAAAAAAGGTCGGAAAGTTGAAGGTACTATTGTTTCTACAATATAAATTGTTTACGTGTTTCATAATTTAATAAGCCGATCTAGTTTTACTAACCTTTTCTGTAATCTCCCTCCCGTGTAACCTGTTAATCGATTAAAATTGTACTTACAGACCAGATCCAGTAGGGTTTTCAAACATGCTTAACGAAACAATGTCCCGAAATTCCAGATAACCTTGGGGTTAAGCGGAAACAGTAAAGCAAATGAATAACTTAGAGCTTAAAATATTCGATTGGACAAATGGGATACTATCATAATTATGTTCAAATTTTAATTGAATTTAAGAGGATTACTTTTCTTAGTCTTTTCTGTCTAGGTTCTCTAATTTACGTTGGTTACACGAACGTTGTGATCATAGATGTTTCCGAGGAAATGTATATAGTTGTCATGACATTGCGAGTGCAGAAAGGGTGTTTTTAAACAAAAGTAGAAAAGGATTCTCAGAATTTTTCCAATTTAAAACAAACAAAACATGTTTGACATTCAAAGCAATAGACCTATTTCGATCAGTTTGCTTCTGTATGGAATGCATGTACAAGTTACATTGTTTATCATAAACCTTATCGACGAATGAATTCCTCCCGACAAGACGAGCGGACAAATAGGATTTTTTTCCCATCTTTTGAATTCATTTTCTAAAACACTGTCTAATCTTATTTAGCAATATACAAAATGGTATGTTCATTAATAGGCGACAGCTTGATCAGGATACGAATTATGTTTGCTCGAAGTAACATGCATTAACAGTTAGATCAAGAAACAAATGTAAACAAATTCTCGAGGATGTGTTCGTTTTAGATTGTGCAGGTAGTGTATCTTTGCCGATTTCAGTAAAAAAAATTAGTAATACATCTTTCGCAGTATCAAGTTATTTAAAATCAGTTTCATCTGCTTTTCAATGGAACCTTGATCGGTCGAACTTTGGTATTACGAGCTCGAGATTTCGGTCGTTAGTTATCCATTGATTCGCGGTCTTAAAAACGAGTAAATGGTCCACTTTTTTTTTATAATAATAGGCTGCGTTTAACATTACCATATTGGAGGTCGTGTTTAATGCATCTTACTATGTTTTTACACTCGTCTCGATCGAATTCGGTTGTCTTTTGTCGTCCACTCGGTGAAGGACGAGACCTTAAGGGACTACATAGCTAATTTATTCATTTAAGTTGATAATGTAGGTATACTGTATAAATCCTAAATCTTAATTGAAAGTTACTATTCTCTAATGTGGATTTTGTACAATCTTCAGATATTGACATATGGTACCCCGTCAACGATAAATGTATACTACTAGAGTTCACAAGCTTAAGTAAAACCTACATCATAATTTTTACTTTTAACTTACTTGTAGACTTTGAAAAATCATGGAAAAGGAATGTCAGTATAGCATTTGGAGTGAGAGATGGTGAAACAACTGCCGGAACATTTCACTTCGAATACGACATACCTTTTGCTGACAAGGAGCATGATGTTTTGGTTCTACAAATCAGCGAAAATGTTAAAACTCTTCCTCCTTCGTTGCCCCTTGAAGAACGCTCTGTTAAAAGTACTGTAAATCTTTCTGGTTATCCAAAAGGTCCAACGAAGGTTGATTTGCGCACTGATATAGATTGTAGAGTTTACAAAAACAACCAAAATCTTCAAGCAGATGTCAATGAAGCCATAGAATGGTGGAAAAACCAAAGAAATCAAGATGTTACAGATCAATACGCTGATGTTCAGTATAACAACGACAATGGAAAGGTCTTCCTGCACACTTCGGTGCAGTTTGAGGATGGGTCATCAGGGAGTCCAGCTATAGCGATGGTTAACGACCAACTCGTTGTGCAGCTGATGTACCTTCGAGGCTATCCCGATTTCTGCTATAGAGAAAAGAACTTTCCACCGTTGAAGTACTTGTTTGAGGCAGGAGTGTCCATGCCTGCTGTAATAACGCTCCTGCAGAGGTCGGGACTCCAAATCTTGGAATAAGAATATAGACTAGAACGAGAGGCATTAAGGCATACTAAAATTCACTGTGGCAGTGTCACAACATAACTAACATATAACGACTCATCATAACAACGTGATTATTGTGTGAATGGAAACGTGGCTTAACGTCATAATTACTGTTCAACCAGACGGAATACGCTGTTGATGATGAATGCTTAATTTAAATTTAATGCTGATTTCATCGGCGTTAATGTGTATGACTACTTATTATGGCATGTATGGACGTTAAAATAATTTCTTGAAAAAGTCTTTTATATCGACCATAAATGCCGTTTCATGGCAGTCCGATGCTTAAATGTTTTCATCTGTACCTTATTGGATATTGTTTCAATTGTTTAAAGGGTGGTTTAGAATATATGATATGTTTATCGGACAATGCCTTTTCAATTTTTGCTCATTTTGCGTAAATCATTAACTCCGTGTGATTTAGAATTTTGTTTTACTTTCCCATTTATCCTATTGAAACATCAAATACAGAATTACAGTATTGATTTGTTGAAATGTCTTAAAATGCATGGAAAACCGCATGTCAAAATTAAAAAATGCATGTGAGAAAAAAAAGGAAAATGACCAAACATGCAACATTATTGCCTTACTAAATTAAAACGTGTTTTATGGTGGAAATCTGGTAAATTTTGGTCTGTTGACCAAGCAACTGTTTCCATCTATTATTCCAGTCAGAACAAATTGACATCTTATAAGTACTTCATTGCAATTAATTTTATCATTTTTTTTTTGCTTTTGTTTGTTTTGTGAACCTGAATGATGTCTGTTGTATCCCAATTATTGGGTATCGTATTTTCCGTGATGATATCATTGATCTCAATGCAGTAGTTATGAAACACGGAAAATATTTGAAAAAAAAGACACTCGTGATTTATCAACCATTTTAATACAATGATTTCTGAAATTATTTCATGGTTAAATAGCCAGAGACAATGTAATACGGAAATTTATTTTTATTTACAATACATCCAAAATTAATGATCTATGCCAATTAAAAAAACAAGTGTGTAGTGTAATTTATGTAAAGGGTCTTTTATCATTACATTTATTCTCGAAGATTACATAACAACTTGCCTATTAACAACACTTTATGCTATTTCCTCGTGAACGGCCGTCAGGTGTGTTGTCCGAGAGGACACGCTGTAGGAACTATGTTTGGAGGGGCCCGAACTCAGCTTCGAGCGTTCTCTTTCTCGTCTTAAAGCTGACATTTTCTTTCCCAGCAAGTTGGTCTCTTGCCTCTTAAGGGGTAGCATGAAAGTGGGGAAATGAAGATCGCGCAATCTGCGTTTCCTCATCTGATTCAGATGACCTTCACGCATGACTTTTGCAAGTTTGGGTTGTACCAGCTTAGCTGCGGTCATCTCAATTTCAGGGAAGATTATTTTTTGGAGTTCTTCACCAATAAATCTATTAGATCCCTCAATGCACAATGCGCATGCGCTTGGTCCTAAGATTTCACAAAAGCCAACAGATTTAGAACAAGAAGGGGGAGCCGTAAGCGATGGATAATTGCTTATCGACACGACACTCGGATCTCTCTCCAAATCCTTCATTAAAAGTCGAAATGGACTATGTTCGGATGTTTCCGGTCTTGGCATTCCGTATCCCGGATGTGCACGAGGAGCCGGGGCTTTATAGAAGTGCTGGATTACCGCGTGATTGAACTTGGTCTGGGTGTTGTCGGTCAAATGACTTCGGGATATATAGTCCCGCTCGCGTTTTTGCTCCATATTGTTAATGACATTCTCGTCGTCTTTTTTCATTGGACGGTTGGCTAGAAATGGTAACTCTCGCCCAGCAATTTGCTCTTTTTTCAATGAATAGAGGGACCTGCAAAGAAAAGAAAACAAACATGACAATGTTAACAATTTTGTTATTTATCCTGAAAGTGCATATGTACTGCCTGCAACAAACGTTTAAATACTATCAACTACACTTCACTAAAAATCTTTCAAACTGTCGCTTCATTTTCTTCCACTGAGACCCAACATTGCGTACCAAGGGATCATGATCTTCAATTCCTGTGTGTAGTATTGAATATTACATTTATATACAAATACGATCCAATAGAAAGCCAAATAAGAAGTCGATAATAGATTCGTTAGAATATCTTAACAGTCCCACCAGCCTCTTCAATCACTTCTCACTTCATCTCAACTTGTGAAAAGAAGTTTAAATGAATTTACAACAATTCCTTTTTGACACTTTTCAAAATATTTTGGAACATTTTCTTCAGTTTTGCAATGTCAATAGAATAGAAGTTCTTATAACACCTCCAGTTGAAGATTACGTGTGACGTTTTGATGACTGCACGGTCACCTTCATCGCACAAATGGCCAGTGTGAGGCGTTCTAGCACTGACGTACGTAGTGTACGAAATGGTACGGAATCGACCATCTTTTTCGGGTGCGCTATAATCCTATGTACACTAAGGTAGAAAATAGTGTGACGAGATGGTGAACAGATTATAGACCAAACAATACACCAGATGGTCACAATGTACTGTAGAAAATTTGGCTACACTTTGTTTAACACTTGGTCAATATATATTCGTTTGGTATTGTGATAATTTGTGTTACCATCACTTCTTGTGTTCCTACGGTTTTCGAATTTTGCTCACAATACGTGTGACACTTGATATCCTGGCAGTCACTCAGTCTGGTCTGCTGATGTTATCTTTATGGATTGGACATCATCAGGGCCCGTATTCATGAAACCATTCTCATGCTCAAGCATAGATTTTGTGCTCAGGCAAACTTTTTTATAATTCTCCTAAATCATATAAATAATACAAATATCAAACATGAAAATTGATTATAACTTTGACTTGACGTCCTTTCAATTTTTTAAAAATCTTTTTGCAAAATCAGCCTTATTTATTAATTTTTAACTTAAACAAGACATCAAGCTTGAACACAAAATTCATGCTTGAGTATGAGAACGGTTCATGAATACGGACCCTGGTTTGATAAGGTAAAGCATTTTCTTTGATTGTACACTACAATAGTCAATGGTGTCCATACAGTTTTCTCTGTTAACTGGATTGGTCAATAATATCTTTACAATTTTGAGAAAGGAAATGTGAAGTCTTTACCCTCTATCGATAACATTGCCCTTCCACTTTTCTGGTATATCAGGTAGGTCTTCATATTGCTCCCACAGTGGTTCAGACGAGTAAATTTCAAATGGATTCTTGGCCTGAGTTCCACCTTTATGAAGCTGTGATAGGTCGAGGCTGCTGCTTCCCCTCCTCATAGAGGACCTCCTCCGGCCCTTCAGATAGCCCTCTATTGACAGTCTCCGACCACCATCCAAATACTCGTCCTCTATATGGAGCTGAACCAAAAGAGAGATTTGTAGATATTCATCAATGTTAGTGTAATCACTTATATCGCAATGTGTACAAAAATACTAACTGTAAGTCATTTCGCGTTAAACTTCTCGGAACATGATAAATAGGTGACCATGCTTGAAATCTCGTTAACCGGGCATATAGGTTTGTCGATTATGCTGTGTTTTATTCCATAAAATAAGCAACTGTTCTCATTTGATTTTCTTTAATATCCACCACACTTCAATTTAACATATTGTTGATAGCGCTACCAAACCAAAACACGTTCCATTCTTGTGAACATTTTCTTAAAGTTACGAAGTATAAATAGTCTAAGAATGGACTTTTTAAGATCGCGATCAGTAAGAAATTATATACAGGGTTTAGCTGACCACTGTCTCATACATCAGACAAATGACCAGTTAGATGTGTATTAGCGCTGACGATTACAACATGCGCGATGACAATGAAATAGCACGACTTTTCGGGTGTACTATAATCCTATGTTCCGACTAAGGTGGAAAACAACAAGAAGCAGGAACTCTCTAAAACACAGTCGAATTCGTGTCCTAATGGTTGTTTTTTATCAAAACCTTTGAAAGAAATCGATCGAAAGATCAACATTATGAAATCAACACGGGGCAGTTACTCTTCCAAATACTGTAGAATGAAACTGACATTCAGTAACGACGCCATGTCATGGTTATTAAGACTACCAAGTTTGAAAAAAAGATCGATTGAAAACTGTGGGGGAAGATATCCGGACAAAAAATGTTCGACGGAGGGACGATCGGGCGAACAACTCCATACCATACTACATCCTAAAACTGACGGGCATACATAGATTACTCATATAATACATACGAAGTAATAGCGGAAACTACGTATAACGTTTACTGTCAAAATCCAATGACGATAGTGGAATATAAAGACCATGTGTCATGCAATCATACCATGTGATGCTTTATCTGCGTAACTTGTGCTGTAAAAGACATTATTTGTTTTGCCAATATAAAATAAACTATATTAAGTTTGTTAACATCTGCAGTAGATTGAACTCATTACCTACCGAAGAACGCCTCCTCCCAGAACTACGACGAGCTCCTTCTGGTAGTTCTGGGAGAATATCTTCCTCCTCCTCCACCTCCTCCATGTTTCTGTTGTCGTGTCTGAGAAAAAATGATTCCATTTATACGAATGACACTTAATAAATTGCTCTGACTTGTGAGAACATTTTCCCTTCTTCGACACGAAAATAAATTATACAGCCAACAAGTATTTACGTCTTCAAGAAATTCTCTACCATCACCAGAAAACACCCTCTGTATAAGTAAAAAAAAAACCACAGTGTATAATGATATTCCACGTAAGGTCGTCACATCTATGTCAGGATGTTAACACAATACTTACCGTTCTGTCCTCTGTATAAGACATAGAAGCCATGGTGTGTAATGACGTAAGGTCGTCACATCTATGTCAGGATGTTAACACAATACTTACCGTTCTGTCCTCTGTATAAGACATAGAAGCCATGGTGTGTAATGACGTAAGGTCGTCACATCTATGTCAGGATGTTAACACAATACTTACCGTTCTGTCCTCTGTATAAGACATAGAAGCCATGGTGTGTAATGACGTAAGGTCGTCACATCTATGTCAGGATGTTAACACAATACTTACCGTTCTGTCCTCTGTATAAGACATAGAAGCCATGGTGTGTAATGACGTAAGGTCGTCACATCTATGTCAGGATGTTAACACAATACTTACCGTTCTGTCCTCTGTATAAGACATAGAAGCCATGGTGTGTAATGACGTAAGGTCGTCACATCTATGTCAGGATGTTAACACAATACTTACCGTTCTGTCCTCTGTATAAGACATAGAAGCCATGGTGTGTAATGACGTAAGGTCGTCACATCTATGTCAGGATGTTAACACAATACTTACCGTTCTGTCCTCTGTATAAGACATAGAAGCCATGGCGTGTAATGATATTTCCCGTATGGTCGTCACATCTATGTCAGGATGTTAACACAATACTTACCGTTCTGTCCTCTGTATAAGACATAGAAGCCATGGTGTGTAATGACGTAAGGTCGTCACATCTATGTCAGGATGTTAACACAATACTTACCGTTCTGTCCTCTGTATAAGACATAGAAGCCATGGTGTGTAATGACGTAAGGTCGTCACATCTATGTCAGGATGTTAACACAATACTTACCGTTCTGTCCTCTGTATAAGTAATAGAAGCCATGGTGTGTAATGATATTTCCCGTATGGTCGTTACATCTATGTCAGGATGTTAACACAATACTTACTGTTCTGTCCTAAACGTGGAACACAAAAAATGTTTTTGTTAGAACGCCATTTTGTTTGACCACATAAACCTGAACGTTGTTTAGTTATGTTGCCTTGCACTGTCGCCTGTTAATCTTATAGAACTGGTACATATATAAACAGCAATCCGATAAGTGTTTTGTCGCATGATGATCCGGATCAAGTAATATTTTAAAACACTAATCCTCAGTCAAATTTCAGTCAGGGTAAAGCTGTCTTTTTTGGAACACGCTCAGTAGTGTGGAAATTTATTAATCAACGCGTTAAGTTTTCGTATTGCTGTATCTGACTTTTATGGTATTAAGTCCACAAAGGACTGGTAACAGGAATGTATATGTCCCCGTTTATAACCGGTGTGATTTTATTTCCCTTAGATTTTTTAAAAATGTTTTGAAAACGTTTCATATCAACTTATAATGACATTAATCTTTAAAATTGTGCGTGTAACTATCATTCATACAAAGAAATATAAGATTTGGGGTCTTCAGACGCATTGTCTTCGCCAAGTCCCTGATTTTGGTTGCGACTTTCGGCAAATTTCCAAGTATTGGTCGCCATCCACTCTCCTGATTCATAACCTTGCTTGTCAACTGGTTAACAAAACGAAATATTTATATAGGCTCTTAGTCTGATTTCCCCGTCCATATTGTATGTATGTGATAACTGATGTTGGACGATTAGATAATGTTTTAACTAATATGACAAGGCTTTAATATGAACTATATCTAATATGATTATGTTGTTAAAATATCTACAGTGATGACGACTTTCAGATCAGCATTCCTTGTTCACTGTGAAACACATATTCTCTGACTGAGTTATCCATACATTCTCTCATTTAATTATCAACATATTCTTTGGCTGGGGTATCAACATGTTCTCTTATCTATTCATCCTCGTGTTCTCTGAGTTATCCACATATTCTCTGATTGAGTTGTCCTTATATTCTCTGATTGAGCTTTCCACATATTCTCTAATTGAGTTATCCACATTTTTCCTGATTGAGTTATCCACATATTCTCTGATTGAGTTATCCACATATTTTCTGATTGAGTTATCCACATATTCGCTGATTGAGTTATCCACATATTCTCTGATTGAGTTATCCACACTTTTTCTGATTGAGTTATCCACACATTATCTGATTGAGTTATCCACACATTATCTGATTGAGTTATCCACACATTATCTGATTGAGTTATCCACACTTTTTCTGATTGAGTTATCCACACATTATCTAATTGAGTTATCCACACTTTTTCTGATTGAGTTATCCACACATTATCTGATTGAGTTATCCACACATTATCTGATTGATTCACACTTTTTCTGTTATCCACACATAATTCGCCACACATTATCTAATTGAGTTATCCAGATATTCTCTAATTTAGTTATCCACACATTATCTGATTGAGTTAACCACACTTTTTCTGATTGAGTTCCTGCTATTGAGCAGTGGTCTGGAATTTATCATGTTATGAACTTTCTTGGCGTCACTTTTGCACTACATACAGAAATATTAACATTGTTCCGTTTTAGAAAGACGTTAGGAATAACGGTTTCCTATACTCAGTAAACTTTTTCGGAATGAGACTTAATATTTTCGTGTATACGCCTTTTTTCTCAAATATCTCCTTATTAAAATACAAAACGTGTTACATTTGGTATATACGTGACTTATAAAATTTGAAAAAGTTGTGATACTATTACTAAAATATTAAACAATAAACAAGCTTTTTTATGAAACTTATTAAAAATTATTCAAAATATTTTGTATTTTTTCTGTTTTCTCTTTATTCGCAGTTTCCTCGGGTTTCATTTCAAACACAAATCAAAAGTTAATTATTTTTTCTTTAATTCCTATATAAAAAATAATTTTAAAGTTAGCATATTCAAGAAAAAATGACTTACGTGTTCTTATAATCGACATATCGTGACCGATGTGATGGTGCTTCAAATAAGTCCTGTAGACTCATCGTCTTTACACATAACTATCACAGAATTATGATCTTTGATGGACAGGACCAAGGTTGACCATGTCCTTTAACGCTATGTGCTACAGGACTCTCATTGCAACAAAAGGTGTTAATTTGACTAAACTTAAACACGTTGGATGTTTACCCATTCTGGTGATTATACTTAATATCTGACACTTGTACAGGAGCTAAGTGTAATTAATATATACACCTGGACCGTCTATAACCGTGTGCATTCTATAAACTAAAACATGCTTAACTGATAGTAATACCTCCTGGATATCAATATACACTATATATCCATTTATCATTTTCAACATAACTACAGCAAAATGATAATTACACAAATATATAAATACTAAACCAAAAACAGAGATATTGCTACTATATTTAGCGATTCATTAATCGTCCCCTATAAAAGTAGCTTTACAGGAAGTGAAATTTTCATAGTGTTTACAGGTGGTCATGTTGTGAAGAATTTCCGAGTTGGAATTGCTAAAATGTAAGTAGTTTGTTACCATGGTAGTGTTGTTGATTTTAAGACAGATGTTTAGAAATAAATTTCTTCTAGAAAGTTGTAGTGTCAGGTTGGAATTAGCAGCATTTTTGCATTATAAGAATTTTTCCAGTAGGTATTTTATGGCAATCACATGTCAGAAATCAGAGGAAATTTGTTATTTACACATATTTTATCTCTCTACCGTTAATCAGAGACGTAGGTAACAGAAATATGATGACTCCGATGCATGCTGTAGGTGCTCATGCTCTGGCCCCAAAGCGAGACAATGTGACTTATGACAGAGAGAACCATGCGTATACAATAGACAATTCTAAAGTTCCAAAGAGACAAAGAAACCATGAAGCATAGATGATATTATGATCATGTAAGATCTGTAGTCCATAATTTATTTATCCATCAATAAGACCATGCCAAGTAATAAGCCCATCCTTTGTCTTTTTCATAGACATCAAATTCATTAACCTAGATATTAACTACATCCCTGTGATAGTGATAAGCCCACCCCAACTATTGATTTAATGTTAATTACACTGGTCCCTTGGGCTTATTGTAGGATAAATATTGTATATCATATTTGAAATTCAGTAGTATTCCTGTCAATAATGTTGCAACCTGGTTAGTATCTATCAAATGAATTTATTGGTGAAATGTGTTGAATGTAGCAGAAACTGCTGTTGAATAATAGAATTGGCGAGCTTGAGATATTAACAAATATTCATATATTTGTTGCAGCTTAACTCTTTATGTATGAATTGTAAATGTTTTGGTATTTTTTCCATATAATAAACACTAATCACATAATATGTCTAGAATACATTAATTTTAGTTTTTGCTTTAGTTTTAAAAATGTATAATTTCAGTGGGAGTGACATAAAACAAGATAAGCCCATGTACAAATATACCTGGTACTAGAAAACAAGAAAACAGATTGTTGATCAAAGTTTATTTCTTCTATCACAATGTATTTATTTAGATAATATATCAGCATGTGTTACATTATTTCGAATTTATAACAAAAATATACTTGTGAAGTCTTCAAAACAGATAGCTAGAGTTTGGTGATTATATATCTGTATATATTAATGTACATTTTATTTTATTATATTGCTTAAGCGTACATGGCGATGATGTGTAGAAAAATTTGACATGATATGCTGAAAATAATTTATAACCAGTTGAGTTATTTCCCAGCTTGCATACATACATGAATCATGTAGATCTAGAGCTGTTTTGAATTCCCAGTTACAAGTGAATGCAATCCATTCTTTATAATTCATTTGTATAATATACAAATATAGTTTGTGCTGTATGCTACGAAATTTTAGATTTTACACTGATAAATTAAGTACCTTGCAATCACTTAATATTATTTACATGTGTACATGTACCAATTATTTAATACAACTGTATATCGGTCTACACTTATTCCAGTACATGTAATAAAGGGAGTACACTTAATTCTGCTGTTGTGTTACTATGTATAGTTAAGTTTAATGTATTTTGATTGGTGATCACTTCATTCTCAAGCAACTTTTGAATTCTTATTAATGATATGATGGACAGGTATTTAAAATTTGCAAATATATTATATGACTTGGTATACATTATTTAAACATACAGTACAATATCAATATTAGATAAATGCACTTTATAAATTTATTAAACAAAGTAAAAGTTGCTCAAGAATGAAGATGAAATTATAAATGTTTTCTAATCATTTCACAAATGTCTCTTCATGGATACCGTACTAACAACTCATAAGTTATTGCTCTTTTCTTTTAATGTCTGTCGCAAGCTTGATGATTTTTTGGAACTCTTAACATCATGCATTGTCCGTTGAATGTCATTTCTCACAAGACGAGTGATGGAGAAACCACGAACTGTCAAATGCTTGCAATATCCACTAACACTTTGGAAAACAGGTCACTTTCACCAGGCGTAAGCAGATTTGCATAATACGTAACCAGAAAGGACTCCATAATTGCTTCTGGTAGTGGCTCAACAAGTAAGGTCTTGGCATTTAAGGCACTGAATTGGGTATCTGTGGTCTGTCTTGTTTCTATTTTTAAACAAGAAGGAAGAAATTGTCACAAGGTTTTTTCAACCCGACTTTATTTTGTTTAGTATACCAAGTTCTTTATGTAATTGGGAGATTTTGCAGATTGAGACTCGCTCACAAAGTTGCCTAAAATGATAGTTTATCGAAATGTGATGGATGACTAGAGTATCTTTTCCTTAAAGAATTTATCACATATCCAGCAATGTAAAATATCTCGCCAATAATGTCCTCCAAAATCAGCTGCAGAAAGAAAGCTATTTTACTTAATTCCGGTGGAATAAATGATCTGGATTTTCCCTAATGTTACAGTCTAACCGGAAAATTCTTGACCACGAAGCCCAGATATTGTTTTGTTGCACACTGGACATTGATAAACAGGAGCATTGCCTTTAGAGATATTCTCATTAGTTTGCACAGAATTGTCTGTTTTCTGTCGTTTTGAACTGGTGGTATCTCCAAAGTCATCACTATCGTCATTGTCGTCATATTCAGTATATTCACCCAATAAAACATCAAGATCTAAGTCAGAATCTCATGATAAAAAATCAGCCTTAAACATTTGTTAGTTGTGAATTGGTACAGAGACAAACTAGAAATGAACCTCTTACATCCCAGGTTGTCTCCCAGACAACGGTTCACTTGGATAACTGACTTGTGTATAGATGTTATGATTCGTGGAATACACAAGGTTGACACGCAAGTCATTTGCAATAGGCTAACGAACTTTCACGGGATATATAGTTGGAATCACAGTAAATCAAAGTACTGAAAGTACTGAAAGGCTAAACGTATTGAAAAATGTTCACAAATAACCGCAAAGCTATATTACTTTCCCCATACTCCTACACTTTGGAATGCAAAAATTACTAAAATAAGAGAACCAGAGGCTATTTTTCTTAATTTTCAGCGATTTTATATCTTCTTTAATTCTTATTTCAAATTTGACGACACTAATGTGAACAAATCAAAATAGGTAAAAAAAATAACAAAATACACACAACCATATATTTATCGCCAACAAGCCAAATGATAAATAGCTCTATGATGAAGTTGACTAAATAAAACCTTTGAAATACCCAATATGTTGCAATTACTATCCTATCAATATGAGGATTTAGACAAATTGAAAGGACTTTATACCTACTTCTTTATTTTGAATGTATTGCAAAGTAATAGTCCTTACTTAATATAATTATATTTGTAGTTGAGGAAAGTAGATAAGGTGTACACAGCATTTCAGATAGATTGAAGTGTAAGTAATTACATTAAATGTATTTACATGCCTATCTTCCTTGAAGTATCATGGTTAGACTTCTCTTCCAGTAGTTATGTCTATAAAGATATAGTTCTTTGAGATTAAACCAGACTTTCATATCTATACAAAATTTACAATATTTTCACTATAGCTACTACTATTTCTAATCTCCAATGCATTAGATAATGTCACCATGACACGCAAAATGAATAAATATGTTATGGAAATATTTCGTTCTAGTTAATTGATAATTATAAACATGAATATTTTGGATTTTTTATACGCGCTTTGTTTGAAGGAATATTTTTATTTCAAGGAACTTTGATACACATTAACAAAACATGAGAAATCAGCACAATCAGCATTCATCAAATAAAACTAAAAGACAAAAATTATAAGTTATAACAGAGTCAACATCATGATCAGTACAGTATTAAAAATATATTATTCATAAATCATGAGCACCGAATGTACCTTGCCTGCGAAGCGCAAACTTTTTATCTTCAAAAACTTGAAAAAGTGTCATGGGGGTGGGTGTGAAAAACCTGAAAAAGTGTCATATCGGCGGATGTGCGCGTGGGACGAACAGTCCAATTTTGTGACGTCTAATGAGGTAAAGTGATGTTATATATTAAGACGATCTTGCCACAACGACAAGGATTAAAACAAAATTGATGTTCTGTTTGTAAGTTTTGTTTGTTTTTAAGTGCTGTTAGTTGATAATTCAATTTAAACTTAATGAACTTGCTTTGTGTTTTTATGCGTTCTTACTTTCTAAATGTTCATTTTTCTGTAACTCTTCTGCTGCTGTTATTAATTTGTATGGATGTTGAATCTAATCCTGGCCCTGAGTCTGGTGAACTTTCATTATTTCATCTTAATATACGAAGTATTAGAAAAAAAGTTGGATGTTATCGAGGACATAGCAGGAGAGTTTAATGTTTATGTCTGACTGAAAGTCATTTAGATGACCAAGTATGTACTGATGATTTATTGATTCAGGGATTTCATTCTCCTTTTAGACGGGATAGAAATTTTGCAGGTGGTGGTGTAATTGTTTATGTCAATAATTTGTTAAAAGTAACTCGACTGACAGATTTAGAATATTATGGCGATGAAACTGTTTGGTTAAAAATTTCCCTAAACAATACAAATTTTATTGTAGGAACCATATATAGACCTGAAAATTCAGTTCAACCATTTTGGGAAAACTTGCGTTCTTCAATACATTATGCTTTTGACATAACAGCTAACGTTATACTTAATGGTGATTTTAATGTCGATTTAATTACTGTTGCCCCAACCCATTTTTTTCAGATATTTTAAATTCCTTTGGTCTTAAAAATGTAATATCGGAACCTACTCGTGTAGGTCCGACTAGATCAAGTTTACTTGATCCTCTTCTTCTAAGTGATTCTGTGTTCTGTATAGAATCTTTTGTTATAAATATAGATAGGTCAGTTAGTGATCATGAAGGTTGTACTGTTGGCGTTAAACTTCCTAGTTCTTTTAAACCTGTCTATACACGCAAAGTCTGGTTATATAAGAGAGCAGATTACAATAAGTTTATGAGCTTATTATTCAATATGACTGGAATGAAACCTTTGCAAATTGTGCATCAGTAGATATTGCTTGTGAAACTTTTACTAATGTTTTTTATTGAATTTGTGGAACTTTGTATACCTACAAAAGATGTAACCATACGACCAAATGATAAGCCATGGATGACTTCTGAGCTACGGAAACATATACTACTTCGTGATAGGTTACACAAAGCAGTTAGAAAATCGAAATCTTCTTCGGCTATCCAAAAGTTTAAAACACAACGTAACAAAGTCAATAATATGAAAAAGTACTGCAGGCTACATTTTTATGAGCATGTCCATGGTTACTTATCTACTGATCCCAAAGCTTACTGGAGATTAATCAAACGGTTAATTAATTCTTGTGGTACATCTAATGACATACCAATTCTGGTAGACCCTTTTACTAATACTGTAATTACTAGTGATGTAGATAAAGCTGATCTACTTAATGACTATTTTTGCAGTATAACTAGTATTGATGATTGTGACGCCCAAGTTCCAGATATTGCTCCAAAAATCAATAAAACTTTTAATTTTATTAGAGTAAATTATATGTGTTGCAAATACTGAAACTTGGAAAGGCTTCGGGCCAGGATGAAATTGGTCATTATATGCTAAAAATTGTTTGTAATACTGTTTGTACACCACTTAAGTTACTATTTAATATGTCACTCTCTGTTGGTGTCTATCCCAAAGTATGGAAATTAGCTAAAGTTATGCCGTTGTTTAAAAAGGGTGATAGACACTCTCCTTCTAACTACATGCCAATATCTCTACTGTCTACTGTTGGCAAAGTTTTTGAACGTGTATTTTTCAATCATATCTCTAATTACTTCATAGAAAATTAGTTGTTTTATCAATATCAGTCTGGTTTCTTTCCCGGACATTTTACTTTTTATCAACTGATTGAAATGTATCATAATATATGTCTAGCACTCGAAGAAAAAAAGCATACATGTATCGTCTTTTGTGACATCTCAAAAGCTTTTGATAGAGTTTGACATAAAGGTTTGTTTATTAAGTTAAAATCCTATGGAATAGACGGAGAGCTATTGACTTGGTTGAAGGACTATTTACATCAGAGACATCAAAAAGTATGTGTTAATGGGTCTTTTTCTAAATTAGGTTTTATAGATGCTGGGGTTCCACAGGGTTCTATTCTTGGCCCTCTTTTATTTCTAATTTATATTAATGATATAGCAGATGTATTTGATTCAGCTTCAAGACTTTTCGCAGATGACACTTCTCTCCAATGTTCTTCTTCCTCATATCAAGAAATTCAAACTGTCCTTAACAAAGACCTTGAATGTCTTAATTCATGGGCTAAATCATGGCTTGTAACTTTTAATCCTGACAAAACGGATGTACTTTTCATCTCTAATAATAATGAAATAGAAGGTTTATTAGAATTAGAATTTGATGGAAATATTTTAGATTTCACTGATAGTCACAGACATCTAGGTGTTATTCTCAACTTAAGTATTAAATGGGGGATCATATTGAAGTGATTTACTCATCTGTTATGAAAAAAATAAATGTTTTGAGAAAATTGGAATTTTTATTAAAACGGGATGCGCTTTTAAGAATTTAGAGTACTTTTATATTACCCATTCTAGAATACGCTTGCGAATTGTGGGATGGTTGTTCAAATTTGGAATCTGAAAAATTAGAAAAAGCCCAATGTGAAGCAGCTAGAATTATTACAGGCCTTCCTTCTTATGCTAGTTGTAACACAATGACTAAACACAGTGTTTACTTGGGTTGACCGAAACTTTTATTTCATCGTATAGTGGTTTTCCATAGTTAGTACTTCGCGTTAGTATCCATTACAAAAGATAGTTCCTAATCAACATACAGCATCATGTCGTGGCACCAAAACTAAACACCTGTGTAAGGCAGACAACAACTAAAAATCTGCCCGTCCATATCAAAGAGTTCCATACAAATGTCCATGGGCCAACTTGGCCAGGACCCACTCCATCGCGGAGCAGGTCCCATACGGGACTCTGCCCGTCTGCACGTCCGACTCCCAACTCTCTCTCTAGCTACTCGATCCCAGACTCGACTACCCTAGTGCTGGCTATTATCTTTGTATAAATAATACCCAAATACTTAATTTAAGCCTAGTCTCAATTGGACAACAATAACCCAGCCCCCGGAGCATCTAATTATGAAGGCACGTGCGACTAGGAGTACCCGTTATCAACTTCCCATCTTTGATCTACCTTATACATTGTTTCTTATCTTGTTTACTTACAAATGTGTTCGCCAGCGCAAGGCATACAAGAAAGCATCTACCTGTCCTGATCAATCATAATGGCGATATTCTGCCACGGTGCTTCACCACTTGGGTACACACCCCGCCCGTTATCAGGCGTGCATCACTATCTATCACTCACGGGATTAACTGACTTTTGACCTGATGTACTTTAAACTAAGATGCTGCTCTCTACGATACACACCATTCCAAAATTACCATTAAACCCATTTTTTTACTCATTTTGTTACATAGTATTCATGCTTTGAATTTTGAAACGGGTTTAGAAACTTTGTCTTCTAGAAGGAAAAGAAAACTTCAACTCTTCTACAAAATGCATACTAATCAAACACCTGAATATCTTTCCTCGTTACTTTCCTCAACAAGATCAAGCTCAATATTCTTTGAGAAATAGTAATAATTATAGAATTCCCTTTTTCCGTCTTTCTACAACTAATTCTTCTTTCTTACCGTCTACTATGCGTTGTTGGAATAATCTGGATAACTCAATCAGGTCGTCATCCTCATTAAGTGTTTTTAAAAAGTCTCTAAAACCTATCGATCACATTTCTCCGCCTTCTCATTTTGGGATAGGTGACCGTAAATTAAATATCATACTAACGAAACTTAGACACCAGTGCAGTTCTTTAAATTATGATTTATTCAGGATAAACCTTGTGGATACCCCCAGTTGTTCTTGTGGACATTTGTGTGAAAATTCTTATCATTTACGTCATGTCAAGAAGGATTCATAAGCCGTCATACAGTAAATACACTGTAAATCAAGTCACGCAGTTACAATAAACTTTGAAGATACAAGAGACCATTTTTTTGCTTACTTACGGCAGAGACGTATCTCTGCTTACGGTTGATATGGTTGTTTTCTAGGAATATTCACAGCAGGCGATAAGAATCACGTCAGCTCGATCTTCTTCAACAGCACAGGTCGGGGATGTCCGTGAGCAAATTCCGTAAAATCTATTGTTCAAAATTTATCAATAGTTCAACCACACTGTGCTTCCTTTTTTTTAAATATATAGTAATAGTATTGTTATTAAAAAATAACTTATTGTGGATGCTTTTAAAATAGCGATTTAAAAGATCGCGGCATTATTTACGCAGAAAATTGCCGCTAGAGGGCTCTAACTCTTTTCGATATTTCAGCCAATGAGAAGGCCAGGATCGGTAAATTTTGTCTAAAAGGCCGTCGCAATAGGCTGTACCAGAGACGTATATAACACGTGTTATATACGTCTCTGGCTGTACGTACTGAGTACGTTAAGCCTAATTTTTTACAAAGATTTTCTCAGACACCAATCATTAATTATGATTATTGCAAAAATGTAATAGTGAAATTACAGATAAAAATATGACCTCATTTAATTTTTGTTCTCTTCTAATCGTCCACCAATCTGTCATTCTTGACAATTACTTGGCGTTATTAACTCATGTATGCTAGCAGAATATTTTTATATCAATTTTTAAAATATATATTCAAACGTAAGTTTACAAAATTATTACGATCTAGATGTACAATATCATTAATTATGTGGACCATATAACGTTATTAAAACATACCTGATTCGAAAGTAATAAAAACAATGTGTTTCTTGGTCCACCTGTTGGCTAACAGGTGATAATAAAATTGTTTGTACCGCAAGTATATATCAAATCTCAAATAGATTAAATGTCGGTCAGGCTACCGCTGCCAAATAAACAATGAACACATCGATCGACACTTATTTAGTAAACGAAGTGACCATGTACATAAAATATTAGACCGAGAGCCGACCGTTTTCCTCTTTTTACTAATGTGAACAATTGATCGGCGCATGCGCGCACAAACTATCTCGCGGCTCTCAAGTCACGTCAAACGGGAACGCTCGGCACATTCCGCAAGCGATACCATTCCCTCTGTTATCTACGTCCCTGCGTTAATTTAATTGTTATGTGTTTTATAAATATATCAACCTGTAATGATGTATTTTTCATAACCAATCTGCTATACCTGCATATCTCAAGCATGATTAATGATTACAGGCTAAATGCAAATAACCTGTTTCCTGCTGCCAAGAGATAAATGTAGTTTAATTTTAGCACGGTGTTTTCCAGCAGAATGCCAAAAGTAGTAACAATCTAAAAATAGATGTTGGAATTTTCCAGCTTTATAATTAGAAAAGAATTCATCGTGTGGAAAGTCGCCGTTTGGTAAGTAAGTCTGTCTTTTTTATCGTCTTTTTTTGTACGTTTGTACATGTGTTTAGCGTACTGACACCTAGCAGGCTTTGCTATCACTCGAGTCCGAAAGGTCCCGACTGTTCTCGACTTCATGTATCATGGACGTGTTTGCGAGAAGAGGAGAAGACCAAGAAAACTTCTATATCAGTGCGTTAACTATATCTATATAAATAAACTGATATGCTTCTCTTCTTTAGTGAAAGTCGTATATGTTGTAGCTTTAAGTAACCATGAACATTTTAGATATTTGGTAGGTGTGAGACTTAATGAATAGGGATAAATCTAGACAAATTTAACAACTGGAAAAGGGTTTTATTCCCCAATGGTATGTTTTACCAGGGACGTATATGTCTATACCAGGTCATATACGTCCCTAGTTTTACCCTCTGAAAAGAGACAAAAGTCCCCGGCAAGAAAATGAACTGAAAATACAAGAAAATGTCCACTTATTTTCAAATCATGCAGTCATGAAAGGAAATAACAATATAACCTCAACATTATCGTATTTTATTAAGTAACCTTCATGCATGTCTTATATTTTTTACCCTATCCATTATAGATTTCTGACCAGAAGAGCCGTCCAAAATTTCCCATTTTCTTAGATTAGGCCAAAAAAATTTCCCTTTTCCAAGATGTATAGGATTCCCCACTCTTTAGATTGACACATGGTTAACATACCCCAACAATTTCCTGAAAATTACTACAATTTTATCTTTTTTCTCTCTCGGAATGGGAATTGCATCATACCTAAATGCCATATTAAGTAACTTCCGTGCTTTCAAAATTTAGGAATGACTTAATTCTTGGTCTATTCTAAAAATAGTAACATGTATATATAGATATATGCAATAGGTTTGTAATACTTCAAGATAGAGTTCTAATAGGTCTTTTGGTAATAAAAATAATTCTTACTTGTTCTTTTTTATAAACTGATATATATACATCAGATGATAAAGTTAGTATCAGTCTTACAGATAGTTTCATAAACCACAGTAAGTATTCTAAATGAGAAGTGACTTTCTTCCTTTTTTACAATATTCAAATTGTACAATATAGGTAAGTGTGCAGTTCTGGACTGACTAGCAGGTTTACAAAAGTTCCTTAACTTGTCCACAGGTCATTTTTTCTGCTTTTACATCAAAGTGTTGTCTGAGTTAAAAAAAAAAAAGTCATTCACTAGTAGATGGCATGTAGTCAGATGTATAAGATACAAATGGTCATCATGTGGCCATCTTCAATTTTGACAGTTGAAGTTCAGTTAAAACTATCAGAATTTTGTAAATTTTATAGAAATCTCTTTTCACGTATCAAGTATGAATATAGATTCTGGTTTTACAGAAACCAAAACATAATGAGTGGTTCTATGACATCTACCCCCTATGAAAGTCTAGACAGTATTGAAGCACACCATTCTGCTCATACTGTGGAAGAATTCGAGGCAGCTGCAGGCTGTGGACATAGGGGAGAAGAATGCAATGAAGGTGCAGAAAAAAGTTTTAAAAAGAGGGATGTTACTGAGTTACCAGCAGCCAGTGTTGAGAAGGACAATGTGACTGTTTCACCGAAGACAAACTCTACTAATGTAACTGTTCAACGGAATACAAATTCTCCTAATGTAACTGTTCAACGGAATACAAATTCTCCTAATGTAACTGTTCAACGGAATACAAATTCTAATGTGAATGTTCCGAGGAATGAGAATTCTCCTAATGGACAAGAGGAAAGAGCATTGTCAGGGAATGCGCCATTGAACAAAGCAGTTACTAAACACCCAGGATATGCAGATGAACTAAAGAGGCGAGGGACGTTCCGAAACTGGCCAGCAAGGTTGCAACAGTCACCAGAAATAATGTCAGCTGCAGGATTCTTTTTTTCAAGTAAGTATATTTCCCAGCACTGCTATCTATGATTTATGTACACCAGTATATTTTCAAATTCATCATAAGTTACCTTACATAAAGGCACAAGTAAGCTTATGCTGTGGTAGGGCATCCATCCAGCTAACCAAAATGCTTAGAATCATGATAATTGGCTTGCATTAATGTACAGCAAAGTTTATGAAGAGAGATAACATTAACCCATATGCAAGATCACAGGGGTCAAATTTGTCAAAGCCTATCATCAAACAATTTCTTCTGATGAACCAGAAAACCCAGAATCATGATTTTTTCTTTGGTAGGTTTTTTTGATAAAATTTGACAGGCAAGGTTTTTATTTAAAGAAATGGCCTTGACCTATATTCAAAGTCATAGGGGTGGAAATTGTTGAAACTATCAATCAACATCCTCTAAATAATCTAAAGCCCTAGAATCATATTCAACTGATGTGTTTCTTGTAAAAAGCTCCAAAAATATGAAAACAGAAATGACCTTCAACCATATACAAGGTCACAAGGGTCAATTTTTTTGTGAAAACCAAATACTCAAAAGGCCTTGAATTATGACTTTTATATTTGGCTGGTGGTTTTCTTAGATCAAATATGTTCAAACTTTTTTAACAACTCCTTTTCAATGATCAAAATACCTGGAATAATGATATTTGGCTGTGAGGCTCCATGGATGAAGCCTATTTAAATTTGTAAAAAAGAAATAATCCTGCCGAAATTTTAGGTCACAGAGATCAAATTTGTTGAGTTTTCTCTTATCCAAAACTTTGACTGTTGACTTAAATTGTTAATGTAAAAATTTATGAAAATCTTTGAATGCTACTTGAGTGATTTGGGCCCATTGGGCCTCTTGTTATATATAAATCACTAAGAACACAAACATTGAAATGCCAAATGTAAATGTACCGTAAAATGTAGGATTTTAGAATGATCAATCTTTTATTTTGACATTTCAACCCTCAATGTTTCATATTACAGTGAATGGAGACAGTGTGAGGTGTTACGTGTGTGGGATTGGATTGAGGAATTGGGACCAGGACGACAACCCCTGGGTAGAACATGCGCGATGGTCACCTAAATGTGCTTATGTCCTTGAAAAGAAAGGTCAAACTTTCATCGATCTTGTCCAGGAAGCTGTTCGCAATGCTGAACTGGTAGGTAATCTTTATGAAGATCTGATTAAATGCAGAATGGTGCTGTATAATTCTAATTAAAAGACAATTGCTTGGAGACTGTTTACTTATCTGATAATTTTTGGGAACATGACATTGATCAGATTTGATAGTGTGTCAGTAAACTTAACTACTAATGTTACCTGGGAACGTGACATTGCATTTGGGTTTTATGGGAAATCAGAAAAGCCTTAATGTTGGTATCATTGAGTTTCATTGCATATTATGGAATGTTCTTTAATGTTCAGTAATTTATAATCAAGTCATGAAGTGGTAAATTACTTAAACATGTTAACTTGATAAAGCTGGAATTATAACAAAGGTAAAGCAATGGTTAACTTGATAAAGCTGGAATTATAACGAAGGTAAAACAATGGTTAACTGGATAAAGCTGGAATTATAACAAAGGTAAAACAATGGTTAACTGGATAAAGCTGATAAATCTGATGAATGATAAAGAAATATCTAATTAATCTGCAATAAGAATTGAAGAAAATCATCAGATAGCAATGAGTAATTGTTAAATGGACTATTCCAGCAACAAGCATTGAAAGAAAACAATGAGAGACATGTCATTGGAGGATATCAGGCCCAGGGGGCCAGTAACTCCAAGTCACAAGTAGATAGTGACAATCCAGAAAATTTCAACGCTAAATCAACACGTCCAGGTAAGCAACCAAAAACCTATCATAATTAGAATGGTAAATGATATTGTTCAAGTAATTATCTGAAATGTTGTTTATCTTTTTAAGATTGATTTGTTTCGGGGGAACTTGAGTAAGCTTTAACATGATGAATACATTGATAAAGAATTACTGCATATTTGATTATAGCATTAATTACTTGTGTGATGTGTTGTGTTGTGCGATGACCTCTGCCTTGTGTGTTGGGAGGTGAGATGACCTCTACCTTGTGTGTTGTGTGGTGGGATGACCTCTACCTTGTGTTTTGTGTGGTAGGATGACCTCTACCTTGTGTGTTGTGTGGTGAGATGACTTCTACCTTGTGTGTTGTGTGGTAAGATGACCTCTACCTTGTGTGTTGTGTGTTAAGATGACCTATACCTTGTGTGTTGTGTGGTGAGATGACCTCTACCTTGTGTGTTGTGTGGTAAGATGACCTCTACCTTGTGTGTTGTGTGGTATGATGACCTTTACCTTGTGTGTTGTGTGGTAGGATGACCTCTACCTTGTGTGTTGTGTGGTAGGATGACCTCTACCTTGTGTGTTGTGTGGTAAGATGACCTCTACATTGTTTTTTTTACCTGTTATTTTTTTCTGCAGCATATTAATTCTTTATTCAATTAAGATAGTAAGATTTGATTCATTATGTTAAGACAATACATTGATATATTTCTTGTTCAAAAAGTCCTGAGAAAATACAATATAATATCTCATATTTGACATTTGTCTTCAACTCAGTAACCTTGACTTTTTATGAATCTCACAATGACCTATGTTGCTTCATAATGTGAGGATAAAATTATTTACTAGTAAAGAGATCAAAAGACTCATTTGATTTGGTCAACTTTGTCAGAGTTAAACTAGTACAATAATGAAAATTTGACCTTAACATTTGACTGGTGACCTTGATTCATAAATAAATGTCATAACAAAATATTTACTATTATAATTTTGAAAAATTGACCTTCAGATGTTTACTTTGTGACTATGACCTGTAGTAAGGTGACTACCAGTTGATTCTGGTCAACTCATGGTGTTATAACAAATTAGTTACCGGTAAAATATTAAAATTTCCGCCTTGATCTTTGATTTCTTGATCTGTATCTGTACAAATTCTCATTTTAAATCAGTTAAATTTGGTTGTGTTGAAATACCAGTAACATATTCTATTTTTCATTTTTGTCCTTTTTTGTGTGGAGCATAACTTTGCCCAAAGTTAAGCAAAGATTATGAAACCTAGTGAAACCATTGATCATACTAAGACAGTGTGTACTGTTACAAGTCAGGGCCCACAGCCCCTTAATTACAGAGTTAATGCCTTTTGTTAGTTTTGTGTCTGAAGCATAACTTTGGTTGTATTTAAGCTGGGATGATGAGTCTTGGTGCATTCATTTGTCATATTAAATCAAAATATCTTTCTGCTGAAGATAATGTAAAGGCCAAAAGGCCAAGTGAGCTATAGGGATACAGGGGTGTCCAACCTGTTGTCTGTCAACTTTGGCTATAATTACAACTATTCATAAACTACTAGGCAGATCTTCATCAAATTTAGTCTGAATCATGCTTGGGTCAAGGAAAATCAGTTTTGTATAAACAGTGGGTCTCAGCCCCCTGGGGCCAGAGGGACTGGGCTCAATAGGGAAAATCTATTATTTTCTTTAAAATCTGTCTTGTTCTTCAGGAATTGTAAGATATTGTCCAACTTTGGTCTGAAGCATGCTTCGATGAATGGAAATCAGTTTTGTATAAACTTTGGGTCTTAGCCCCCTGGGGCCAGAGAGCCAGGGCCCAATAAATAAAATCTATCAATTTCTTTAAAATCTATCATGTTGTATCATATAGATTATTTCATATCTCATTTTCTATTGCAGGAAGACCTGATCAGTTTCCTACAGATGCAGAGAGAAAAAACCCATTGCTATGTGATGCTGCCCAGAGTGTGCTAAACATGGGCTACTTACCACGAGTTGTTAAACAATGCTTGGATGAACTTCTGAAACTTGAAGGTATCATATCATTTCATATACAATCAAACCTTGTTATCTCAAACTTTACAGGACCATGAGATAACTGGGTATTTGATTAAAGTGAGTTAGAAATTTTGGTGTAAAGTAGACAAGGACAGATGAAATGCTTCAATAAATAAACTACTTGTTATTCAAAAATTAGGACAATGACTAAGGTATTATGTAGTTTGAATCACTGTATATAGTAAGATATGAAAGTCTGAAAATTTAATGCCAAGAAAAAGCAGAAAAGTACAAACAATTTCAGTAGCTAAATTCAATAAAATCCAAATAGATTATATCTGGAATGGTAATGTAGTGATGAATACATAATTTATTTTTATTGGAAAGCGGTTTGGTCTGTTTATCAAGTATTTGTTTCGTTCTCCAGATAACTGATGCTATTTAGTGTTACAATTTGTAACATTGTATCAAAGCTGTGGTATGGTTTCCTTGTCTAGGCTGGCATGCAGTGAGTGGCAGGAAGCTAATGAAGATGATAATGGAAAAGGAGGAGGTTGGAGACTTAGATCCAGATCTGTCTGTAGTCCCTTCACAACGGCCACGTAAACGCTTGAAAGAAAAAATCTCAGGTAAGGAGGATATGGTAGGGAGTTTCTCATTCAAAATTTTGTCATTCATGAGGATAACTGTTTACCAAATTGTGTATAGTTTTTTGAGGTCATCTGACCCGAAGGGTCAACATTGTGTTTCGTCCATCACCGTGCGTCATTCGCCAAGTGTCGTGTATAAATTTTTTCTTTAAAACCCTACTCCTCTTTCATACTTGGATGGATTTCAACCAGATTTGGTCTGATGCATCAATGCGTGAGGGTCATTGTTTAAATTCAGAATTTTGATTCAAACCCCTAGCGGTCGAGGGACAGGGTCCCAAAGGAGGAGGTGCTGAAATTAGATTTAAAACCCTACTTTCTGCCTGGGTGGATTCATCAGTTAGGGTAGGCAATTTCTTAAATTTAAAAAGTTGATTCAACACCTAAGGACTTAGGGGCAAGGCCCCAAATGGGAAAGTTAGACAAGATTTTGCTTCAAAAAGCTACTCTTTCTTAATACTTGAATGGATTTCAACCAAATTTAGTCTAAAACATCATGGAGAGTCGGAAATAATTTCCTCAATTTCAGAAAGGTGATTCTACCCCTAGTTAATATTAATGAACTTGATCTGCTTGAAAGGTTACAGGGAAATGCTTAAGGAATATCTCCTCAATAACCAAAAGGCCGAGGGTCTTGATGTCGGGTCTGTCACTTGCTTTATCAACAAGCAATACATATGGAGTAATTGCAATTGAGTAGTGCGTGTATAATGTGTATGTAGAGATCTGATGATATTCTCATCAAAATATAGAAATGTAAACATGTTTTTGGTAAATAATCCCCCGCAGAAATTACCTAAAACCTAATTTGCAGTGCTGGTGAAATTTTAACCTTGACTTTGTATTACAGTGCCAAAAGCTCGTTTGGAACAGGAGAATGCAACGCTGAAGGAAAGAACTACATGTAAAATCTGTCTCCAAAACCCTGTAGCCATTGTGTTTTTGCCTTGTGGACATCTCGTCAGCTGTGCACAGTGTGCTCCTGCTCTCAAAGTTTGTCCAATCTGTCGTGGACCCATGAAGGCCACCGTTAGGATCTCATTTGGTTGAAGCAAATGCCTAAGCCTCCAGCAATTTCATGTGGTGAAAAGACTGTGAATTATGATGGAATAACATGGATGTTATCAAGAGATTCATACGTATGTTCAAGAGTGATTTGTAATGTATAAAGTAATATAAAACCAATTATATGTTATAAACAGGATTGTTATCTTGTGATACATTGTGTTCATTATCAGACGAAAGAAGAGATCGTAATCTTCTCACCCTCGCCACAGACACCATACATGACTTCTCACCTCTCACTACTGACACCATACATGTCTTCTCACCTCTCACTACTGACACCATACATGTCTTCTCACCTCTCACTACTGACACCATACATAAATCTTCTCACCTATCACTACTGACACCATACATGTCTTCTCACCTATCACTACTGACACCATACATGTCTTCTCACCTCTCACTACTGACACCATACATGTCTTCTCACCTCTCACTACTGACACCATACATAAATCTTCTCACCTTCACAACTGACACCATACATAAATCTTCTCACCTGTCACTACTGACACCATACATAAATCTTCTCACCTCTCACTACTGACACCATACATAAATCTTCTCACCTCTCACTACTGACACCATACATAAATCTTCTCATCTCTCACAACTAACACCATATATAAATCTTCTCACCCTCACTACTGACACCATACATATAATTCTTCTGACCTCTCACTACTGATACCATTCATAAATCTTCTCACCTCTCACTACTGACACCATACATAAATCTTCTCACCTCTCACAACTGACACCATACATAAATCTTCTCACCTTCACAACTGACACCATACATAAATCTTCTCACCTCTCACTACTGACACCATACATAAATCTTCTCACCTGTCACTACTGACACCATACATAAATCTTCTCACCTCTCACAACTGACACCATACATAAATCTTCTCACCTCTCACTACTGACACCATACATAAATCTTCTCACCTCTCACTACTGACACCATACATAAATCTTCTCACCTCTCACTACTGACACCATACATAAATCTTCTCACCTCTCACAACTGACACCATACATAAATCTTCTCACCTTCACAACTGACACCATACATAAATCTTCTCACCTCTCACTACTGACACCATACATAAATCTTCTCACCTCACACCACTGACACCATACATAAATCTTCTCAACATCACTACTGACACCATACATAAATCTTCTCACCTCTCACTACTGACACCATACATAAATCTTCTCACCTCTCACTACTGACACCATACATAAATCTTCTCACCTCACACCACTGACACCATACATAAATCTTCTCACCCTCACTACTGACACCATACATAAATCTTCTCACCTCTCACTACTGACACCATACATAAATCTTCTCACCTCTCACTACTGACACCATACATAAATCTTCTCACCTCTCACTACTGACACCATACATAAATCTTCTCACCTCACACCACTGACACCATACATAAATCTTCTCACCCTCACTACTGACACCATACATAAATCTTCTCACCCTCACTACTGACACCATACATAAATCTTCTCACCTCTCACAACTAACACCATATATAAATCTTCTCACCTCTCACTACTGACACAATAGGTAAATGCTTTTATCTCCAACAAAATATGATTATCCTTGTATATTTTATATTCACAAATACTATCAACATCGATATATTTGGTATGGTAAGTAATACAGGGGAAAGTTTTTAATTGTATTGTGGCTACCGGTATTTTGTTGAGAGTCATTTCTATGATATATTACATCTATGTACGTCTTTTAATATTTTACTTCTTGTATTTCACAAGGGAATTGAACTTTCTTTTATGAGGGCACTAATGTATTTATCACAGTTTGATCAGTATTAAGTGTAACTTGTGATTACTACCAGGCAGGCAGCTACTTATTTCATAAAAATATATTTATGCTTATATTTTGTCATTTGTTATTCATATACATATTACTGGGTGATTAAAATAGGAATCTTGCATGTTTCTATTTCATATTTAAACTCATAGAAGTAAAAGATTTCCATTTATTAAGGGAACATCTAGCCAGCTGGATTGAACGAAATGATTGAATACATCTCGCATATAATGGATACTGTTATGGAATAATATGGAATATCATGGACTACTATTTATCTCGAACACAAGATTTTTTTCAAAATAGTGCTAATTGAAGAACTTATTCTAATGACTTACTATTGTTGGCTTCCTGTGGTCAGTTTGGACAGGCAGAATGGGTGGGAATAGTCCCTGGCAAATTATCAGGAAATCTAGACCTTGCATATCAATGGATCATAGATTTTATTTATAGTATTGAGTAAATACACTAGTGTGTATGCTGTTTACTTAGATTTCTGTTGGGGTTGCAGTTTTATTACCTCCTTAGGCCTATTTTCTGTTGATTTTATAATTTATACAAATACACATATTTCAAAACTAATGCAAATCTGTCATGATGCAATCAGGGCTGCACAAACATTTGTAAATCGATCTTGCTGGATCTATGAAGAATGTTTATTAAAATGGTAAATTCAGTTGTATGATTTCCACAAGAACAGAAGTAGAAAATTTTGTACAGTTTTCTTCAAAAGCATCTTGTGAATTTCTAACGCGCGGAATATGTCCTTTGAACAGAAGAATGTATGATATAGTAACATCAACAAACAAGGGCAATACTTATTAAGATAACGGGTTAACAAACCACACAAAAAAGATGTTGAGACCACTAAATATTCCATCATTCTTACAAGAGGCCTAGCGACTGGACGTATGAAATGCTGAATTTGAAAGTTACTGAGTAAGTGTCACAAAAATAACTTCATTAATGATAGTAAGACTTAAGTGATATGTTTTAAGCACTTAGGAGTCAGCCAGTGATAATATATGCACACCACCATAACTGTGATCATAATAATTCTTATCATTTCCAGCAAACATTGAACAAATTTATTCTCAAAAATCCAAATTTCCTTTAATAAACTTCACCAGAGGTGAACAGGGGTTTTTCAGCAGTCAAAAATGCCAAAAGTTATGGACACATGCTTGGACTCACAACTCAAAGACACATGCTTGGACTCACGACACATGCTTGGACTCACGACACCTGCTTGGGACTCATGACTCACGACACATGCTTGGACTCATGACATATGCTTGGACTCACGACACATGCATGGACTCATGACACATGCTTGGACTCACGACACATGCATGGACTCACGACACATGATACCGAACAAAAGGCAATCACAATGGGTCATTATGAAACATTCTCCTGGGTGACCTAAAAATGTTGAGAGAGAAAAAAAAAAAGGAGGAGCAGTAACTCATTGAAATATTTTTGAAATAAGATGTTATTCCTGAAATCATAACCTCATGTTATAGTTTTAAAGCTCACCAAGTTAAAAAGATAGTAGTTAAAATCTGATAGGGGAGATAAACATGATGAAAACAAGGGACAGTAACTCTTCCAAAAACAGTTGAATCAAACTGTCATTCACGAAAACACAACACTATATCATGATGATTAAATCTACCAAGTTTGACAGAGATCGGATGAAAAAGCAATCAAATAAAACTCTCTGTGGGGAAAATAGAACTTTATGTCATGGTGATTAAGCCTATTAAGAGATTACCGGTAGTTGAGAATACAAACAATTCAAACTGTTATGAATGTTATGTAGTCTGCAGTGGGCAAAATAGTGACACCACATCATGGTAAAGTATTATCTCCAGTGCTGTTGACATTTATTGAAGCAAAATTGTGACATTAGTCAAAAACAACTGAGAGAAAAGCATCCCCGAACAGTTAACACTGTCATCACCAAATGATGTTGAGCTTAAGATGTGATTCTGATGGTATGCTGCCTTACTTGGTCTCCAATCATGGACCCTGCCATCTGTCGAGCTAAGTAAAAAGCAGCATTCATCAGCGTACTCTTCATCAAGACCTTGTTGGTGATCGTATGCCCATTGTAGTCATGTGAATTCCAGTCAACAGATGATGTTTTACTAGTCAGCTCGAGTGAAGTCAACAGATGATGTTTTACTAGTCAGCTAGAGTGAAGTCAACAGATGATGTTTTACTAGTCAGCTAGAGTGAAGTCAACAGATGATGTTTTACTAGTCAGCTAGAGTGAAGTCAACAGATGATGTTTTACTAGTCAGCTAGAGTGAAGTCAACAGATGATGTTTTACTAGTCAGCTTGAGTGAAGTCAACAGATGATGTTTTACTAGTCAGCTAGAGTGAAGTCAACAGATGATGTTTTACTAGTCAGCTAGAGTGAGGTCAACAGATGATGTTTTACTAGTCAGCTAGAGAGAAGTCAACAGATGATGTTTTACTAGTCAGCTAGAGAGAAGTCAACAGATGATGTTTTACTAGTTAGCTCGATTGAAGTCAATAGATGATGTTTTACTAGTCAGCTTGAGTGAAGTCAATAGATGATGTTTTACTAGTCAGCTAGAGTGAAGTCAACAGATGATGTTTTACTAGTCAGCTAGAGAGAAGTCAACAGATGATGTTTTACTAGTCAGCTAGAGAGAAGTCAACAGATGATGTTTTACTAGTCAGCTAGAGAGAAGTCAACAGATGATGTTTTACTAGTTAGCTCGATTGAAGTCAATAGATGATGTTTTACTAGTCAGCTTGAGTGAAGTCAATAGATGATGTTTTACTAGTCAGCTAGAGTGAAGTCAACAGATGATGTAGAGTGAGGTCAATTGATGATGTTTTACTAGTCAGCTCGATTGAAGTCAATAGATGATGTTTTACTAGTCAGCTTGAGTGAAGTCAATAGATGATGTTTTACTAGTCAGCTAGAGTGAAGTCAACAGATGATGTAGAGTGAGGTCAATTGATGATGTTTTACTAGTCAGCTAGAGTGAAGTCAACAGATGATGTTTTACTAGTCAGCTTGAGTGAAGTCAATAGATGATGTTTTACTAGTCAGCTTGAGTGAAGTCAACAGATGATGTTTTACTAGTCAGCTAGAGTGAAGTCAACAGATGATGTTTTACTAGTCAGCTAGAGTGAGGTCAATAGATGATGTTTTACTAGTCAGCTTGAGTGAAGTCAACAGATGATGTTTTACTAGTTAGCTAGAGTGAAGTCAACAGATGATGTTTTACTAGTCAGCTAGAGTGAAGTCAACAGCTGATGTTTTACTAGTCAGCTAGAGTGTGGTCAATAGATGATGTTTTACTAGTTAGCTAGAGTGTGGTCAACAGATGATGTTTTACTAGTTAGCTAGAGTGAAGTCAACAGATGATGTTTTACTAGTCAGCTAGAGTGAAGTCAACAGCTGATGTTTTACTAGTCAGCTAGAGTGAAGTCAACAAATGATGTTTTACTAGTCAGCTAGAGAGAAGTCAACAGATGATGTTTTACTAGTCAGCTGGAGTGAAGTCAACAGATGATGTTTTACTAGTCAGCTAGAGTGAAGTCAACAGATGATGTTTTACTAGTCAGCTAGAGTGAGGTCAATAGATGATGTTTTACTAGTCAGCTCGAGTGTGGTCAACAGATGATGTTTTACTAGTCAGCTAGAGTGAAGTCAACAGATGATGTTTTACTAGTCAGCTAGAGTGAAGTCAACAGATGATGTTTTACTAGTCAGCTAGAGTGAGGTAAATAGATGATGTTTTACTAGTTAGCTTGAGTGAAGTCAACAGATGATGTTTTACTAGTCGGCTAGAGTGAAGTCAACAGATGATGTTTTACTAGTCAGCTTGAGTAAAGTCAACAGCTGATGTTTTACTAGTCAGCTTGAGTGTGGTCAACAGATGATGTTTTACTAGTCAGCTCGAGTGTGGTCAACAGATGATGTTTTACTAGTCAGCTAGAGTGAAGTCAACAGATGTTGTTTTACTAGTTAGCTAGAGTGAAGTCAACAAATGATGTTTTACTAGTCAGCTAGAGTGAAGTCAACAAATGATGTTTTACTAGTCAGCTAGAGAGAAGTCAACAGATGATGTTTTACTAGTCAGCTTGAGTAAAGTCAACAGCTGATGTTTTACTAGTCAGCTTGAGTGTGGTCAACAGATGATGTTTTACTAGTCAGCTCGAGTGTGGTCAACAGATGATGTTTTACTAGTCAGCTAGAGTGAAGTCAACAGATGTTGTTTTACTAGTTAGCTAGAGTGAAGTCAACAAATGATGTTTTACTAGTCAGCTAGAGTGAAGTCAACAAATGATGTTTTACTAGTCAGCTAGAGAGAAGTCAACAGATGATGTTTTACTAGTCAGCTAGAGTGAAGTCAACAGATGATGTTTTACTAGTCAGCTAGAATGAAGTCGTCTACCTATGGGTCTAATGTTTGACGATGGTAAATGGGGATCGCCTTGCCTGTCTACACAGAACTCCATCTTCATCTGTCTTTCGAGGTCTTCCAGACTTTGGACACATCAACATGCCTGGTTTGGTTCATATGCTGTACTAACTGAGAAATAACAAAATGGCTGTCATAAAAGCATGCAGCTACTTCCCTGTATGTTATACCACCTTTTACCATTGAAGAGGCTTTCCATTTGTCAATTTTTGTATTGTTTTAAAGAATTAAATGTCATACTAGACCACCAACTAATAGAAAGCTTATAAACATCTAGTGATACAATTGTAACAAGTTTAGTGAACAGCAGATGACATAAGTTACCAATACTGGTCTCCAAGTAAATGCAGAAAAAGTAAAGCACTGACAGGTCACAGAGCTGCCCCCTGTCACATGGCTATGTATGACCTATAACCGTATCACTGAGGATGATGTTCAACATTTGGACTTAAAAACGACAAGGATATAAAACATTATACATGTACTGTGGTGCCAATCTTGTTTCCCTGCATTAATGGAAATTTTCTGTTCCACTTACATTTCATATATCCTCTTTACTATGAACAGTCTGTGTCATTGTCTGAGGTGAGATGTTAGTGATGTGTCTGGCTCAGAGATAACACCAGTAATACAGGACAGCATACAAACTCAATATTCACTAGAAATACAGACTGGTCAGTATGTGCTCTTTGATCATAAAGTTTTTGAAGTCTGTCGCCCAATCAACTGACCTTTCTTTTTGACCAAGGTCAAACTCTATATCTTGATGTAATTTGATGTGTATTTGTCATTAAATACTGAAGTTATGAGCCAGAAATTGTGGAAGGACAGACAGTGTGATTACAAAAGGGCATTCTACCTCAGATATAAGGCCCTAATAAACAACTCAATTCATTGTACCATTACTCCAATGATTTTATTTTGACAATTACATATCATTATTCATTTATAGATGGTATATGTTTTTTCCATGAGACATCTTTGATTAATAATATAATCTACATACTATTTGGAGCAAACATTTTTGCATCTATGGACATGCTACGGTTTAGCTTACCTAGTGATACTTCAGTAAAGGGTGCAAAATCCATCTTTGTGACCGTTATCAACAGCTGATGCAAAAATTCCATTTTAACTGTTACAAGCCTTCATCGATTCAGGTTTAAAGTGAGTATAGATAAAACTGCAGGCAAGATAATTTGGTACAACAAACTGCCTTAACTTAATGGGTCTTCATGACAATTTACTACCTTTTATTTGTAAACAAAATCAACCATATTGAATATAACTACAAATCAATCCCTGTGATCTGACCTAGTTAATGGAAAGACATTTGACATTACAAGCTTTCTACAACCAGCAATACTGCATAGCTTCAAGGAAAATTGAAATGGTTTTCTTTTTTAAATCAGGCTACACAACCCAGACCAGTGGTAGAATGATAAAAAGATTTTACAACAAAATATCTCCAGCTGGCAGCTACTGTCACTATGATTGAATGGACAATGTTAATTCCTAGTTTGTCCCACAAACCAAACAGGAATGATGTCAAGGTGTAGAATGTGGGAGACACGAGTAATCAATGATATCAAAAACAAAGTTATGAAGATTTTCATGTCAACTATGAACACAACATTTTTTCCCAAATACAGTACTAAATAATAACTGGTACAGATGTCAACAATATCTTAATGAATATGTAATTGTTTGTCCGTGATAGCACAGATAAAGCACTTGTTTTCATCCCTTACATTACTGCAAACTCTCCAAAATCTAATACATCATTAGGGCTCAAATGTGGTCAGTACATATATTGAACACTTGAGAACATATTCATGGCTTGGTAAGTACATTTCATCAATTAAATTAGTAGAAGTTGATAATACGTAATAGTTACATAACCAACTACAACTGCCTCATCAAACCTGTATTATTACAATTCCTTTAGCAAAACACCATTTATTTAACTTCAATTTTGAAATAAAATATACCAAAAATTCAGTTTAAGGGTTACTTATCTCATAAAGTATTAGGATTATATAATTAAGAAAATAACACTTTGTTAGAAACATGCACCTTTATACTTCCATATGTACAGATACATTTTGGAATGAAAATTTCTTGTTCCATTTTATGGCTGTAAGGTTTCTATGAATCAAACAATGGAAGTTATATAACTTCAAGCTAAATATATAAACATGGTATACCCCAATGGTTCCTTCAACACTACATATATACTCTGCTTAGACTCACCACTTGTTTTGAGTAATGAAAAGCTATACGAAAGTTAAACACAGACATATGTATAAAATAATACTAAATACCATGAGGACAGTGAACTAATTCAGAGCGATGATTATAATGTAAAGGGTTTGTTCTTTATAAATCTAACTATACATTGTAACACCAACACTTCAGCTATGACAAAGATACCATCCAAAACATGAAAATGAAATACACATGTAAATACAGGACAAAATCAATCTCCAATCACATAAAAAATTAACAAAAAAGTAATATTATTACAGTAGAAATATAATAAATTGAATACATTTTCTGTGTATATTTTTAACTAAATAATGAAAATGATAAAAGAGCAGGGCTTCGCTTTATCATACTTGAAAGTCATCTATTTGGTGTCAGCAGGATATGGGTATAACCGATTTGTACTTCTAAATATATTTTGTGTTACCCTAATCTACTGGAATGGAAACTGATGAAATACAACTGGTGCATCAATAAGTACACATCAGAACTGATTTTCATAATGCATAGGACGATTGTTACAGAAAATATTACAATAAAGTTACATCCAGGAAGTAATTGTCTTCATTACAACATATTAGAAAAACTGTGTTTCGATATTACATTTAACTCCACTAGTGGTTACTGAAATGTAGAAAGTTGAAATAAATATTTCAGGTGTAAAAAATAGGAACATAATTAAATTTGTTAATTATCAAGTAACTGATTTATACTTTGATTACAGTTTAAGGTAAGCTATGTGCATAAATCTTTACTCTGCTTTTTGAATAATCCCTTCAATGGTCAATCTCTTAACTTATACTATTAAAGTATAACCAGATTCATTTAGTGAAACAGGTCATGAAATATGGAAGGATACCAGTATATTCATTTACATTACAAAGATAATCTGCTTACAGTACTAAAAAGTCCTTAATTAGTACAAGAGTCTTCAAATATTACATAAATATAATAATTCTGGTAAAGTATTTGAAATCCATTTAAGTAACAATTTGCAGTAGGTAGGAAGAGAAAGCAATGAAGGAAAGAGGAGAGTGAGAGACAGTAGATATGGATCACACCCATAGTGCACCATTCTGTGAACTATCGTTCTGACAACCCTCTATATACCTTTCATATAATTCAATATTTACAGAAGAGGAAATTCTCAAATATCAATAGTAGTTTATGTTAAACTCATCTCCACATTTTTCAACTTTCAACACATTCCTTTATACGTACATGAAATGTCATACATATATATTTTTGTATCATATATATACTTGCAACAAACTGATATGAATCCTATACATCCTCAAGTAAAAAATAGACGTTTGTTCTGGAGATGTGTGCCGTTTCCTTTCTGTTACGTAAGTCTATATATAACAGACACAAACTGTATCTGGACAAATGTCGACCATCATTACAACAGCGTGTCACTACACCCAAGCTCAATCACAAAGGAGATGGCATGGTGTGCGTCTTAGAGACATTCAAACTCATCTATTCGCTTCTTGGTGTTGCCTTGTCTGATCTGTTTTAGCGTCTTGTACTTGTCACGACCCTGTTTGACATTCTCTGTGTGGAGGATATCATTATGTGTTTCTTTTCCTTCAATCCTGGCTTTCTCAAGTTCTGCACTCAGAGACTGAAATATGATCAATAACAAGGTTCAAGTAGTATCAATAAAAAGGAAAACAAGCAAATTCATGGAATTTATATCCCCTGCTTTCCAAACATATTGTTAGTAAATATTTTAGAGGTTAGGAGTAAACATGTCATAATGCTATGTAGAATGATATATTCTCTTGAGCTATGATGTATTGCTTTAAAGCCAAAGAAAGATGTAAAGGATTATAGAGAGTAGATGTTTTATTGGACATTTAACAAAAACTGACCGACAAACGAAATGAAAGGATATCTAATTAGTATGCATAGATATTAACAGATGATGCTGATTGCTGAACTCAGTCTTATGTGCCCTAATATCCATCTGCTGACCAAGTTTCATCTAAATCGGATTATATTTAGGGAAGTTAGAGCACGGAAATGAACCTACCAATGCAATCAAAGGATACCTCATTAGTATTAGTATGCATAATTATGAACAGATGACACTGATAGTCTACCTCAGTCTTAATGACCCCAATATGCATCTGCTGACCAAATTTCACCCAAATTGGATATTTGGGGAAGTTAGAACACAGAAACGAAAGTGTGACATCAGATAGATGGACGGACAAACCCAAATTAATATCCCCCGTTTCGGTGAAAGCGGGGAATAATTAAATCTGTAGAATAATGCATACAAAATAATTCTTTTTTTTTTTCGATCAAATTCTAACACTAATAAAAATTTCCCTGTGTGACAAAATGTGATACCAAATTTTCAAAAATGTGATTACAAGATTTGAAGTTTAAATCATGAACATTTATGAACCATTATGAAGTAATTGTCTCCCCTTGTCCATAATTTATTACCAAAGAGAAAAGTAACACCACCCATTTCCCGTAAATTCTTAAAGCTAAGTTATTGTCTAAGTGCTGATTAGATTATCACATTGTATCAATACTGAACAAATTTCATACAATCCACATCTAGATAAAGTTGATATGTAGAAATCAATCTAGTGCTGTGTGATGTCAATTTATTTTTTATATGAATATTGCTCGAGGTTTCCTATGATACAGTTAAACTTCTATGAATCAAACTTTGATGATTCAAATTTCTCGATGTACCAAAGTTTTTGTCTGATCCCAAATGTTATTCTCATAAATTACTACTAACTTACCCCTTTATTAATCAAAATGTTATAAATCAAACTTTTCGATGCATCAAAAATTTTTCGCACAGCATAAGCTATATGACAACACAGTCATTGACACCTCATGATTTGAAAAAATATTTACCTGTATTGTACAATGAAGAGTGCTGCCTAAGAATGGGATTACTATAGCCTGCTATCATTGGCTCTGTGTTACGAGGTTAACTAAGGACTGGACACAGATCAGAATTTAATTGCTTATTTACAAGCCATTTGCGTAACTTTTCAGTTTTAAGCATAAAAGCATGAGAAACACAGTGATTTATCAGTCAATCATGCATTCTCCAACTGATTCAGACTAGCCGTCATCAGAACATCGCCAAACACTCTTGTAATTTCCAAGACCGAAGATGAGTGATGTTAGTGCTGTCATTTCTGAACAGAATACATTATGATATTAATAATTTGCTTTCTTTGAAATTCATGAGGGCCTATAAGGTTTATACATCAGTCTTGAAATAATTATTGTAACACCTGAAGGCCACTTTAATGCTGTATGCCGTTTCATTTAAAACTGATCCGTAAAATGCATATACTGTGTACTAGGCACGAATGTAGTTGTAAGCATGAATGAAAATGTTTTATTTAAAGATGAAAATGCATCTTTTTATTTAAACTTGTGTTTTGGTATTTGTTGTGTTTGCTCAGGTAGAAATATGGTGTCATCAACTATATATAGCCATGAACATGAAAACATCAATAAAACCCACCACGAAAGATTCAAAGTCTCGATGTATCAAATTGTTTTGGTAGCCCCTTGAACTTTGAAACAACAAAGTTTGACTGTATTTAGTTATCTTACAGAAACTACAGTGTACAGAAAGAGAGCATCTTATACCATAAACCATCAATTTTTTAATGGGCTTAACTAACGTTTCATCACAATATTTGCAGTTTTCCCATTCTATTTTTACCAGTGACAGCTAGTTATTTAATACTTACCTCAAGTCTGTTCTTATTGCTTTCAGACGAGTATACATCTCTGTCTTCCTCTGGACGTGGAACATTCTCACCACCCTTAAGATCAGCCGCTATTTAAAGAGAATATTAGTTTATTCAAACGGGTTAACTATTAATCACAACTATTAAAATATTCATCAAAATGGATGTCCATGTCTATTATAGTAACATCACATTTAAAAGACAGTGTACATCCTAAAGGTTAAAGATAACTGTATTGTACATCACAAGTCAGTCCTTTCGACAGGAAATACAACAAATACAGACTTAACTTCAAACAATCGAACAAAAGATATACAGATCACACACATTCCTCTTACACATGCTTTGCTAGACGACTGCATGAGCTGATTCATAGACTTCTAATGAAGGGAACTAGTGTAAAATGATCTTGGGGTTCATAACCTTGCATCAAAGTCCATCATTTAGTCCTACTATTCTGATTTCAGAAGTAGCACTTCACATTTAGTCATATTACTTTGACTGCAGAAGGTCTAAACAGCTAGTCATGTCACTTTGACTGCAGAAGGTCTGAACAGCTAGCCATGTCACTTTGACTGCAGAAGGTCTGAACAGCTAGTCATGTCACTTTGACTGCAGAAGGTCTGAACAGCTAGTCATGTCACTTTGACTGCAGAAGGTCTGTACAGCTAGTCATGTCACTTTGACTGCAGAAGGTCTGAACAGCTTGTCATATCACTTTGACTGCAGAAGAAGGTCTGTACATTTTGTAATTGTGACTGCAGAAGAAATCTATTTATTTCAGGACTTTTTCTGGGTAAATCGGTAAAAAGGTCTCTGACTTAAATTGGAAAATATCATTTACATTTCGACAAAATATTTCTATCAACAAAAAAATAACATATTGACTAAACTTTTCATTCATATTGCTTTTATTGAATTATAAAGACAGAATTCTTAATTTTTTTTGTACCTAAAAATACTGACCAAAGTGTACAGGGTTTGATTGACCCTCAATGCAAATAAGCATCGGGTTTGGAAAATTGTCCCTACCCTAAACAGCCACTGAACTGTCATTAAACAGAAACCTCTTTCTAAAGTTGGAATGATGTCCACCAATTCTATTAGTTAAGATAAAGAGCATTTATGCCAACACCTGGCTATAGGCCTGTCATTACATGTGTTAATTGACAGGCCTGACATTATGCATGTCAGTTTGAACTGAAACAATTGGCTTTTTATAGGAAGTGTCAAGTTTTCTACTATTGTTTGCATCTTTTCATCCTTATAGATTTCATAATCTCTCTTTCTAAACATTTAATTTTGGTCATAAAACATGCTATTACGGTTCAAATATGCATCATCATCAGATTGGAGAAATAAATTTTGGAATTAGGAAAATTGACACCTAATTCTGATTGGGAAGTATATCAGTCCGTGAGACACGTCAGAAAAAGCCCTGAATTTAGTCACATTAGTTTAACAGATTCTCCAATAGTAATTCAGATAGCATGACCTGAATTATGATTCATGATAGAAAACTCTATATGCTATATACAATAACAAGGGTGACAAATTTATTATCTTTGGAACTCACATTCATCTTCAGACTCTTTCATTTGCGAGAGTTTCTCTTCCATGTCAAGACGCGACTGTTCTGCCTCCCTAAACTCCCGTTCCTTCTGTTCGCGCATCGCCCGTTCCTCCTCGGCCTGAATACGTGCAGCCTCAATCTTTGCCTGGAGACTCTCTTGCTCTTGCAACTGGTTCTGATACGCCTCATTTTGGTCCTTCAACTCCATCATTTTTTGCCTCAATTCCTCTTCCTAATAAAAATCCAAGCACAGAATGAATTTCAATCTTTTCTATTAAAACTATAATAGGCATCATTTACAAATTACCTACATATTTCTTGTTTTTCCTTATAACATCACGTTAGAAATGACAAAGCAAAGGTATCACATGTACAGTTCCTGATAATGAATACTACATAATGTAATTGATAGACTCCACAATACGTCATACAACCTATTTATTTTTATGACAAAATTCTTTTATCTTTGCACTAAATATAACCTGGTGTATTCTGACTCTCCTTATCAGTCTCTTTTAAAAGCAATTTTATTTCATTTGAAATAAACATTTCCATTCCATGCAGTATGCATGAAAGTGGCTTCCCCCTGGTTTTCTATATTTTTAACTGATCTAGTATGATATTTCTGTCTTGCCTTAATACTTTTAAAATGCATACAATGTACAGGAAAACATTTCTGTACTTTTCAAATTCCCATCAGACAGCCTGTGAGCTAGCCTTTGTCACATGATTTGTTTTACTGAATACAGAATAGATACCAACAAAACAACAATCTATGCTTAATTATTACAGACATTTTCTCAGCTATGCCCCATACCTTCTTCATTCATCTAAAAACCCTTTTGATATGATGAAAGATGATAATGCTACATTGGCAAAAAGCTTTACATTTCATGGTCAAACATTTTCTATGGTTGTATTATGGATGCTCCTAAATTCCTTTCACAATAAAAGAGGGATGTCACCAAATATTAATTTGGTAGGGTGGTATTTGATAAGAAATGTTATATTTTAAACATTGCAATCATGTGAAAACCAGCAGGAACCTTTTTTTTAAATCAAGAATTTTAGCAGGACCATTTTTTTCAATCAAGAATACCACCTTGAACCTTTTTTCTCAATCACATCTTCAATATTAAAACAAAGGCAATTCATATTGTTAAATTTGAATTACAGGATTTTTCTGTGGTTGTTGGTTGTAACACTCATTACATTTTTTGTATATGGTATTTGTTAGTCACTTATGTGTGTGTATAATATTTGTAAATACTTGCATGCAAAATTTTGCAGGTTAACAAAGCTAGAGTTTGCTAACCAAATATTCTAGTGGTTGAATTTCTCATATTTCAATACATTTTCTCTCTGAATGAAGACGTGGATAAGCACAAGAAAAACAATGTTTTTTCAGGTTTATCATCAAAATCAGAACAAGAGACCCATGGGCTTTAACAGTCTTCTGACAAAAAAATTTTCAGCAGGGAGACATTATTTTTTCTACTTTAAATGAAATCTTACTAAGAAGCTGTTTTCCATGATTCAGATAGTAGTTTTGGTGAAGAGTTGGCAACTGTAACAAGTGTTACCTATTTTTTAACAGTAAAGTTGGAGCTCAATCCAACTGGTGAAACTTGAGAGGAAGTTTGAAATAGGTGTTGCACAGGAAAACCATGATTGCGCAATCATGTTACAAAATGGCCTCCCTAGTTTCCGTATCAAAGTTTTGACACGCTTGAAAAATAACAACACTTTGTTGGCTACCTTTCCTTAACATTCCCACCAATTTTTAGCTGAATGGCACTAGTGGCACTGAAGAAGTTTAAAATATGTTTTTCAAGATGGCAGCCATCACAGATTTCAGACATACCCAAAAAATGCCAACACTTGGTCAGGACCATATCAGTATCATTTCATGCAAGTTTGAGCGCAATCCCATTGGTGGGACTTGAAGAAGACATTTGAAAAGTCGAAAGTTCACGCACATTGGATGGTGAATGGCAGACGACGATGTACAAAGCAGGATGGCTATAGGTCATCATCACTCTTCAGATGACCTCAGAAGCAAACATTTATGAACAGAATAAAGGCAATATGATATCTCTCCTTTATCCTTCAACCTAACTGAATATATTGTGTATGTTGATACTGTAAAAGCTGTTTTTCTGAGTTGATTTATTTTTTTCACATAATCCGAAAAAGGTACAAAATCATGTAAATAAAACACCTTAATAAAAAAATTGATGTTGAAAATAGTACTGCATTTCATGACTTCCTTGATAATTTGAACCTTTTCAGGTTTAATGTTTTGGTAATATATAGGAAATTTTGAACAAAACAAACTTCAGAGTATGTTTCAGTACAACTTACTTCAATATTCTCTCCGTTAAATACACACCAAGTATATAATTTTGAATTGTGCATTACAAAACTCCTAGATATGTATCAATATCTACACGTGTACATAACTACTATATAATGTTATTTTGGATACAGTGATTATGCATGATACACAAATGTTAATTCCAAAAATAGTGGAGTACATAAATAATTTGAAAGGGTCAATAACTTAATCTTGTACCTGGGATCCCTCATGTTAAATTTCAACAAAATCAAAAGTATGAATACAATGAAGTGCCACCATGTGTTTGACAGAGCAGATTAAGAATTATTATTGTTACCCAATTAAAATATCATGAAAGAGTAGAATCCATTTTGGTAACAAAATAAATTCATATTGTTCTTCAATGTTATCTTTACAAAAGCTGGACTACTTAATTCTTGCCATGCTCCATCATTATGACTTGTTAAAAATTGTGCATCTGATCTGATAACATGAACCCACAACTGACAGAAAATGTAAGAAATAACAGTAATATTTTCCTAAATTATGAAATTGAAAAAATTTCATCCCAGAAAACTGGATTATTTGAAAGAAGCATTAAAAAAATCTTCAAATGATCTTTAAATAAGAATTAATAAAAGCATGAATCCTATAAATTCAAAATAACCATGAATTAAACTGATTTTTTCTTTTGATAACATGACTGCTCTCCAGATGTGCCAAAACTGCCGACAAAATGCACAATTTATCAATGTCTCCATGTGTGACGATACATACCACATTTATTTGTGTTGATGCCTAGCAAAATGCAATAAAAATGTCTACAAACCATGGTAGTATGTAAGACCAATGATAAATAAAAGAGATTCCACCACCATTCACAATGATATTTCAAACAAGTCAATGATTCCCCTAGTCCTGTTATCATCCTAATACAAGCAAACTCCATGACTGGAAATTTTAAAGCAGTCACATCCATGAGGCATTTTTTCTTCTATTTTTCATTCCATACCCAGAACATTTAGGCTTCTGTTGTTATTTCAGCACCTTAAAGTTTTATCAGCTTTTATTACCAACCACAAACAAGGCCCAATAAGCATTTAGTTGGACTCAGCGTTAGTTTGCGATCTATAATTTTCCACTTCCCAAACAAATCAGAAACCAAAGCAAATATCATACAAGACTTCAGGCAAATATACTGAAGCATCAGAAGCTACTGCTGCTTTGTTGAGGTTTAATAGAACATTCCTGGTCCAAACTACAGTAACATGTTTCATGAGTCTTCAATAAACTAACTTTTTCAGACAATATCTCATAAAAATTACATCCCCTGGCTTCCAATAAACCAACTTTTCAGACAATATCTCATAAAAATTACATATTTCATAAAAAGACATACCAGTTTCTGTTTTTCTGCTTCACTCATTTCCTTCATACTCTCAAGGCGTGATTCAAGTTCGTTCATGCGGTTGGTTGTTTCATCCAGCTGGTTTTGTTTCTCTTCTACTGCAGAGGATAACAAGGCCATCTCATGGAGCTTCCTCTCAATCTCCATACGCTCTGCAATAGACAAAGAAATACAATTATTCCCTTATCTCTTTCCATCAAAATGTATAGAGTACTAGGGACTTTACATCTTAAAAAAAAAACAAAATTCATACATAAACAGTGTCCCAATAGGGTGTCAAGGCACTAAAATGGCCAAAATTTTATATAGTACCATGAATTCCAATTTCATTCTCTTTCTTGCTTCATTTTGATTATGGAAATGAATGTTTTTCCTTCACATGTCATTACTAAGTAAAAGTTTATATATACAGGGTATATCCAACACTTAGAATTTGGATTCACAATGCCATAAGTTATAACAAAGACAGTAATATCTGTATGCTCTTATATATATCAAAATAAAATATTGAAGTTCATTGATTTAGGCCGAGAGCTTCAAAGATTTCTGTTCCAATTTGCAAACATTCCCACTAACCATCCTGTTGCAGTTTGAGCTCTTCTTCTTGCTTTCTAAGTAGTTCCTCTTTAAAGAGAAGTTTTTCCTCCGCCAGACGGCGTTGTTCCTCCGCCAGACGGCATTGTTCATGCGCCAGACGACGTTGTTCCTCGGCTTCTTCTTTGTCCTCCGTAGCCTTTCGCAATTGCAAAGCATCCTCCTTCTTTTGGAGTTTATCCTCCTTTGCTTGTGCTTTCATTTGCTGCACTTCAATAGTGTCAGGTTTGCGACGGCGCATGTAAAGTTCATGGTTTCCCATACAAAGTGCTAGGATCCGTTTGTTTATTCTAAGACGTTCTACATAAAACACAAAGTCCTGTCAAAATAAAAAGGAAATCTCATAAATATCAATTTTCACTACTCAGCAAATATTCTTTTCATTTGAAATTGAAATTTTTTTTTGTTCCACTGACACTTGTGATATCAAACATTACTTTTAAATACATATTATAAGAAAAACCTCTGCTGATCAATTTAGCTAGAGATTCAAGCAAGAAATGCTCTCTACAACGAAAGGTGGATATAGGCTGCCCCAATACTGAAGATAGAATAACATCATGCTGTATTTACAAGAAATCAAGCATGGTCAATTACTCAGCAAGACTTGTTCAAAATTATCAATTCACTAAGTTTTATGATAAGAATGACAGCGCGTAACTTACAAGAAATAATATGGGACTGTAAGCCACCAATGGAGACATTGTTAATTAAAATGTATGTAACGTAAGGCGTGTATTGAAGGCCTTGAAGGCTCCCAAGCAAAACTAGTTCGATAATTGCTATTTCACATTTTAGAAACACATCAAAGAAATAATGAATTATCTATGTGTTATCCATTTGCAAAATTCTATTAAATGTTTTACTTGTGATCTTGATAAACTGGCTTCCGTTGTCTGTTATATCATGTCTGTGTCTGTTATGTCAACATAATGGTTACCACATTGTAAGAAAGTGTGGGGCTTATATTCCGGTGTGCCTTATATGTAGATCAAATAAAAATAAATTGCTAAAAACCAGCACGGTGGCTTATATTTGGATGCGGTTTATAGGTCAGAAAATATGTTAAGTATGCTTGGTAGTAAACATTGAAAAAAAACAGTAAACATTGAAAAAACACATTATAAAATACTTGCAGGTGCTTTCTTGTCAATAGGTTTGATGATAAATTTCTTGTCATTGAAAGAGATATTGCTAATTTCACTCCATGGGAATCCTATTTTTGGTGTCAATCTGGAAATAAGAAAACAAAAACAAACAATATACAGAAGATGTAACCTTACTGTAATCATGCAAAATAACATGATGGCATTTTTATACGCTAACATTTTTTTTATATGACAATCTTATTTAAAACTATCAATTAAACATTAATGCTGTTGTACAGTTCCATTGTAATATCCATTCCATTTCAGTTAAATATTAAGCTCTTCCAAAACAATAAAGTCTTCATTAAGATCTCTCCCTTTGCTGATCGTGTTCCCCTAGTGGCTCTAGCTACTCACTTATCATTTTCTTCATAAACATTGAGGCCGAGGGCATCCACTCCTAGTAATAGCACTGTAGCTTTCTTGTTCTTGATTTTAAAGTAGTTCACACCATACATTTCCAAATCTTGTGCTATTTTAAGATATTCCAACATGGCATCACATCTGTAAAATAACAGTCCACAGTGTTACTCCATTAAAGAAAGTGTGAGTAATGTCCCTTACATCAATTTAGCACCTAGTGTCAATTATTACAAACAAAATTTAGTTTCAATATATATTTGGGATGCATACTTAGAATTTGATATTACCACTTAATTTCATTTATTGTGATGCTGACATTTTTTTTGTACATCTGCTTAGAATTATTGTTGGAAATAATACTTACACAAGCATTCCCTTGTGCTCTGCATACCAGTTTGCAATGCGCTCATACCATTGGTCTTTGGTGAGGTTATGCTGGTCGATTACTCTAAATACATAGAAAAAACAAAGCTAAAATCACTTGTTGACTAGTTTTCACCAAATCTTGTATGTCAAAGAGCAAAAAAAATGGTGACAGAATGTCCAGATGAAAGCAATGCCTTATGGTTTAATGTAAGAATTGAAACAACAATTATTAACAATAATATTACCAACACATCATATCACAAACATCAGCCATATTTATTGCTAAAGCGACACTACATTACTTGTTTCCTCTCTACCATCACTGGCCTTGTAATTTTGGGAAAACAATGTAAAATTATCAATTTCCTGCTTTCAATTGCTGTTAGCCGTACCTTTGGGGTAGGAGTGTGTCGTTGGAAAGGTCCACACCATCCTTGCCTTGGTGTTTTACCTGACAGGCGTAGGAGGCTAGCAGGACGGATGTCTCAGGTGGACAATATATCTCATCACTAAGGATACCTTCCTTCACTTGCAGGAAAAACATCCTCTACAAAAAAGCAACAGTTCCTGGACTGAGTCACATAAGGAACATAAAAGAGATGATGGAAACATTTCTTTATTTCCTGGTTACATTGTATTACATTGTCACCAAATCAATATTACATTTCTTGTCAGTTATCGTGGCTATCTGACGTCAAATAAAGTACGACAATCATCCAAAATGGAAAACATACAGTGGGGATGCAAATAAACCCTTTCTCTACTGTTGATCAATATTTTTTCCAGCATCCCCCTTTTCTCTACTGTTGATCAATATTTTTTCCAACGGGAGAGAGGGCTTATATGTGATGAAATATAGTAATCTCAGATTCTAAAGATAAAATGCTTTTTATCCTGATCCTATAAATGGTATTACAAACAGAATCACAATGATTATACCAAATAATTTTAAAATGTCACTTGATGCACGGGCAGTTTGACACTGATTTAAGATTGTTTAAATGGTACAGCTGTACACGGAGTTAAATTGGTTTGTTATTTATCTAATGACCATCTGACAGACAAGATTATGGACACCCATTCATTATAATTTAAATATCTGTCATTGTTTATATGGTTGTCATACTTGTGTGACTTCCAAGATGAGTTCTTCTGATACATCCTCTGGGAAAAACTTGGCTCTGAATTTGAACTGTACTGGTGTTTCTTTTTTGACATCTTGATTCAAAACCTGAAAAAAAGAGATCAAGTGATGTAGGGATGAAGAAAGAAAAGTTAGAAAAGCATTTCAATTAGATCTTCACAGAATTTTCAGCTATTAATTTCAAAGATTTGGATTTTGGCCCACAAGAATTCTATGCAATTTGAAACAAACAGTATGTCACAATCCACATCATTGTTGTCCAGAAGCACATCCAAAGAACATGCAACTTTGCTAATTTTTAACATCTAAAATTCATTGTGTACTTGAACAATTGTAATTATGAATTTTTCTTTTATAAATTTCACGAGTGGAAATCAAATCAAAACCATGATATGATAATATGGTATGAATATAAACCAAATCTGTTCAGAGATCTTGTACAAAAATGTTATCAGACACACAACGTAATTACTTTGGAACACCTCCCCTCCCCAATCTAAGTAGTGGGGGATACAAATATGATACTGTCTGAAAGTGATTCAAGAAACATTTTTTTGAGAAATTAACAAAATGAATATATCTAGTTATTATTGATATTTATTAGAAATTACCTTTATGGCATCAACAAACTTTGTCTTTAGATAATACCAAAGACCATTTTTGACTTTTTAGACTTATATGAACAAGAAAAGGAAATATACCATAATGTAGCCTTACCCTCTTGTTGAGTTTCAACCAAGTTGTGTAGCCTTTGGTGTCAATGTACTGGAGACCAAAGAACCATATCTCTCGCAAACCGATAGTTTTGACAACCTGAATAAAGAATAGATAAAATCATTAGAGTTTATATATATACATAAATATATCTATACACATAAAGCATAAATAAAAAACATGCTTATCATTAAAAGATACATATATGTTTTACTTACCTGGTACATGTACCTGTACAAAAGACACACTAGTGAACAGTACCTTTTAATACAAATTTAAACGTTCGGAGGGCTGATAGATAAGTTGTGAGCCTCATATTTAAAGGATTGAATTTGGCGAACATATTGCATCATTTTAAACATAATCTCTTTAGTATCTATACACTTTTGCCAGTGATGTTTAAGGGCCACTTTTAAAGTTTTAACATAATCCCCTTCAAAGCTTTGTCATAACAAGATCGTCCATAATAATGAAATGTATTCTTTTCTGTGAAATCCCAGCTGTACTGACTAAACACTGTACTAATTGAACTTTTTTTTTTGTATATATAATTTAAACAAACATACATCTCATTAACACTATAGTGCCCTACAAGTCACATCACAGTATCAAGCTCTCCTATCTGTCTGTATAAGACTTTGATTGTAATTTTTAAGAAATTGTACTTGGGTAATAGACTGCTGGAGGAACAGGGTTAACATTTTGGTAACTGTTGCTGATTGGGCACTGATGGAGGGACAGGGTTAACATTTTGGTAACTGTTGCTGATTGGGCACTGAAGAGGGACAGGGTTAACATTTTGGTAACTGTTGCTGATTGGGCACTGATGGAGGGACAGGGTTAACATTTTGGTAACTGTTGCTGATAGGGCAGCAGCAAATCCTGACAAGTTAACAAAGACTACTCTCCCCAGTGACCAGATTATTCCACATCTGTGAACAAAACTTCAGATGTCTGAGCTGACCTGGAATGGTTAAGGGAGTACCTACCTGATCAAAGAGCTGTTTTCCTGTGGTACTTTGTTGGATGGCAAACTCCAACTCAGCGTCCAAGGTGGTGACGCGCACGTTAACCTGAAAACAAAAAAAAGATAGTATTACCTCAGATAATCTCAAAGAGTTTCTAGAAAATCAAACCCTGGGTGTGATCTTAGGCTATGTTTATGTACTATTCCTCCTGAGTAGAAACACTTGTATGCTTAACAGTAAGATACTACAACATAGTATATTTCTAAGGTACTGATGATAAACAGGAATGAAGATGTTCGCTTGCAGTTATCAACAATCTTTCAGTCCTTAATTTTCCTTTCGTCACCTTCTAACAATATCCAACACTTCTCATTATACAGGATGTATTTACTGAAGTAATTACAAAGCATTCCACAGAATGGACTTCAGCTTATAAGAAAATGAAAATGCTTTTTGCTTTTAAATGTCAAAAGATTAGAAATATTTACAGCCATGAATAACTTGATTCACACTTTGTCGACTGAAGTCACGAACATACAAAAGTTAAATTTCATTCATCATAGATTTTACTATGAACATTAAAACTCATATCTTTAATATACATAATTCTGAACTAATACATGTAACTAATACTGACATTCCTTTCCTGACATCTTAATTTACCTGGTAACATCGGTAACAGGAACTATAAGGAGAGCTGACTAAGATTACATTACATAGGCGGGCCCTAGGCCATTATTACAGCCAGTTGTACTCTGATTCATCTAATCTAGAAAACAGACCTGAGTTCTACAATACACAATAGACTGCAGTATGTACCAGGAAATCAGCTTAGTGATTGTTCCAGAAATCCACAACCTAGCAACACATTCACAAAGCCCAAAAATAAAATGAAAATTTGTCAAAACCTTTTTGTTGCATTACAGAATTTACTATTATATTTGAATTTACGACTACAACAGACAATTTTTTTCATAAAGAAATTGACAGGAAGCGACAGATTTGGTTTTCATTTCCATATTTTCCTGTCATCTTGATCATTAAGAAGGTTCATCTGTCATGTTACATATCAATACTTCTCTGTCAAATTACAGAGAATGACTTCAAAATTTTCTTATTTCCTTTATAATCGTTCAATTTTTATGAGGAAATCAAATCGAGAACTGACCTACAGATTATATAAGTAGTGATAAGTGAAAGTCTTGTTTCTTGAAATTCCGCCTTATTTTTAGAAATAGGTCAACGCCCATTGCAATTTCTAAAAGAGTGGTAATTCGAGACATAGGAAGTAACAGAAGTGGACTGGTTAACATCAGCATATCAATGTCCAATAGACAGATAACTCTGTATCCAATATCAGGAATATACTTGTAGCATAAATACACCATCTGTAAAATATAGGGAAACCATGAATATTTCATATGACATGGAAGAAAATCATGATTTTGAAAATTTGCAAATGGTGGCCTGATCGGTTTTGCTACAGAATTAATTGACACCACAGGTGTTACATGTCTAAATGTGTTATGATACCCCATCAGCTGTTACCCAACTTTCAGGTATAGAATATATACAAATGGCCAGAGGCAGAAGGAGTTCATCATTAGTTGAATGCTCTGATTCTGTATGTAACCTAAATACACTGTGGTATAAGTTTGGGGGTAGCGACACAACAATTGACAGATCCAAGATGGTTTCAATAGTTTTCCCCACATTTTCCAGTACACTTTTTTCCTCAGATATGGGATAAGATATACAAGCATTCAATAACTCTCATGACTACATCAAGGAGCTTAAAGTTCATGAAGGCAATGGCATGGGTCATTTTCAGCAATATTCACTAAATGGAAATGGATGGTCCTTTTTCAATTTTAAGGTGTACATATCGCCTCCAGCAAGTTTACCCCCTCCCCTGACCATAACTATCAAATTAATCTATGCCATATTGCCTACCCCCCTCCAACCACAACTAATATTACATGATGCACTTTTCTGACCTTCTCTCCCAGATCTGATTCTGGGAAATATATAAATACCACTACATATACAGTATCAGTATGTTGAATACCTCTGTATCGAGAAATCTGGTCCTTTCTACTGGTATCAGAAAAATGTGCACCGGTAAACTGGAATTTGCTGACATGTTAGTGATATTTAGCAGGTCTTTTACTTTTTTAAGTTGTACATGATGATAGCCATAATGTAAGATTCTAACTGTTGTTGGTGATCTCCCCTGATAACAACGCCTACACTGAGATGCATGGCAGCCAAATCCCTCACAGTCATTTCCACCTACACTTGAACATAAACTTGTAAAAATATCCCTCTTATATCTTCTACAACGTATAGCATGTTTTTCACTTGTAAGGCAGTGTAACATGTATGATGCTGCATGCATACACTTCACCTACGTACAGGACCTACACTCACTACTGCGACAAACATGGCCTTTTAATGTACATCTCCCTCCACCCATATATCACCAAATATATGCAGCACAACTACAATGACAGTATTTTTTTTTTTTATAAAAATCCTTTTAAAAATGAAATATCACCTTAAATAATGATTAATTTTGCTTTTGTATTAGGATATCAAAAGTTGCCTGTACTCACACTTATGATGTATCCTCTTGTACAGAGAATGATAAAGAAAATTCAAAAGCACCATGATATGATTGAAATTTAAACACCAACTTTAATGATAACTTCAGTATTTTGTTCATTAAAATTATCTTTTCTTCTCCATATGGTATCACAATCAAAGATGAAAATTTTACTTTGGTAAAAGTAAATAGTCTAAGTGATGGTGTGGGGACAGTGTCATTTTACCACAAAGGTCTTGTCAAGCTAACATATCAACTTTACCGACAAATTCTGTCTTCATATTGAATTAAAAGTGCACATATTTAGTATGCTGTGCACAGAAATATTTAAGTTCATTGTCAATTTTCCCTTCATTCCAAAACAATTGCAACTGTCTCCATCCCCAAGACCTTTCTTAATTTTTTCATTTTAAATTTATAGGTTATTTCGAAATCTTGCATAAAAGTGGCAGGTAGTTTGTTGGACATGGTCTAAACTTTAAATTCCTTCAGAGGACACTAACATACCAAAGGCTAACAACAAAATTGAGCCTTTACATAGAGTTGTCACTTGTCAGCAAAATCCATCGAAGTCGAAATCTCTTGCTTTTAACCAACAAATGAAATATTACTGATCATGTAATGGTCGACACGTCACTGACAATAAACTCTTCTTTGTAGTAATACATACACATCTGCTACTATTGCTTTTACCAACGTTCATCTTATATAACTTGCACTGCAACTTGACATTACTTCTATTTTACAGCACCTTTATAGTAGAAAAGTCAAAGATAAAGATACTCATCTATTTGACATCATCTTGCTAGCAAAAATGTCAAGATTGCAAAACTGATGACTTGTTAATGTAAGTTCCTCGTTTTGTTTTAAAGTTTGATTGTGAGCGCAAAAGAAAATTGTCAGACTCGGTCAGAAATGGATTTTCCTATTCAAGACAGGAAGTAGGCCGGCCTTTCTAGGTTTAAGTATCTACTACAAGTATACATGCAACCATGGCATAAATTACATCTCTTCAAATAAGTGTTTAGTAAATACTAAAGAGGACTGGGTTTGAACAAATTATTTCCTTTCTATAAGCGCAGTGTATTTAATACATACATATCTACGTAATGCCAAAAAAACATGACGACATCATCATGAATTATTCACCAGCCTATCAGAACAACACAATTAATGTGTTCACATGCCAGAAAAATTCATTCCCTTTGTCAGAGAAATAAATGCCTATAACAATCCTAATAGTGCCTCGCTGGATAGTGTGATGATGACTCATTTTAGACTGTTTTTGCTCCATATAATTTTCCCTACATCCTGTTGAAATCACTTTTTTCAAGTGTCAGGATAGTAATGTAGATCACTGACATCTCTCAGGAACATACAATAACACTAAGACACAAGTGTCACTATACGACACATCATAAGAACATGTGAATTTTTATCTGCTTATTCGTCCCTCACTAATACATACATACTGCTGTCATCATAATTACAACCACACTACACCATAATCAATACAAATTTACTCAAGTGCATCATATAATTTTACAAAAATGTGAATCACTTTTCCAGTGTTGTCATAGATGTAATAGTCATTATCCAGATTCAATTTTATAGCTGGCTTGATAATCAACAATAACTGATGAGACTATCAGTTTAATGGTGACTGTGTTAATAAGCCACAATGGTTGGACTATCAGTCCAATGGTGACTGTGTGAACAAGCCTCAATGGTAGGATTATCAGTTTAATGGTGACTGTGTTAACAAGCCTCAATGGTTGGACCGTCAGTTCAATGGTGACTCGTGTTAACAAGCTTCAATGGTAGGATTATCAGTTCAATGGTGACTGTGTTAGTAAGCCACAATGGTTGGACTATCAGTTTAATGGTGACTGTGTGAACAAGCCTCAATGGTTGGACTATCAGTTCAATGGTGACTGTGTTATCAAGCCTCAATGGTTGGACCATCAGTTCAATGGTGCCTGTGCTAACAAGCCTCAAAGGGTGGACTATTAGTTCAATGTTGACTGTGTTAACAAATGTCAGTAGTATGTTTCACTACTATCAGTTCTGTGGTGACTGGGTAGTGGGGTTATCATTTGTTGTAAACAATTCTTTTATAAAAGTAAAAAATTTAATACAAATTCAGTTGTAAACAAATTCAAAGAAAATTGTGTAAAGATTAGAGACTTAAGTAAACATATCTGAATGATGATTGAACACAATTTTAGAAATACCCTTGACCTCTGTGTTCACTGTGTTCCTGTTACTTTCCCAAGGTAAGAAATTCTCTCTTACTGCCCTCATGAATTCTAATTACCTGTCACACTCATAGACAGCTAGCTAAACACAATTTCCTCATATATTAGTGTACATCTTATACACTAGATTCACTGTGAACGGCAGTGCATTCTCCCTGATAAAGCCCTAGCTATGTATATTACATATTTCAGCTACCTATCTGAGGAGTGTTTACCTAGGACACACCTACACAACAGTAATC